ACACAAACCCGGAATAATGCACATGTAAATATCTGCCATGTTGTTCTCTCTCTGAAAATAGTTGTAGTTTCTTTCTCTATTCTTTTGTTATTCTTACATAACTTGCATCTGTTTGTTCAATATTTATATATTTCTACATTTATTCATGTCTACTGAATGTCTGTCTACGTGTAGCACCTTATCACCAAAGCAAATACCTCATATGTGTAAAAACTACTTAGCAATAAAGCTCTTCCCTCTTCTTTCTGTCTCTGTTTGGTCTTTAAATGTGCATGTGGCTCCTTTTCACCTCAACGATAACTTAATTCATTTTAATTCAGTTAGAAACTCCTGGACTTTAATAGCTCCTGTGTTTCAGCAGGTTTTCTGTTTATGTTCAAAACTTCCTGCACATTCAGAGTCTCTCCCACATATCTGTGTTCTCTGACAGGTCCAGAAAAATATCGCCGCGTTTTAATTCCCTGGTAATAACATGATAAAAAACATTTGTTGTTATTGGTCAGTATGTGCATCTGTTTTACAGCAACATGCTTCTGTAGGTGGTAGTTTATCACACAGTGTGCTGAGTGGATACTTACTGTAAGCGACGGTGAGCAGTGTGCTGTGAGGTGTACACATGTCACATGCTGCCACGTTGTTCCTCTGATCAGGCCAGTTAATGGTGGCATAGTCCTGGACATAAAGCTCCTACAATCCAAAGAACATGACAATACTTGGTTATGCAAAAACATAAACACAGTGTGTGATTTGGTTAGGCAAATCTATGTGTTCAGTCCAAGATGGTTGAAGTAAAGAAAAACTGCATTGTGTAGCTCCCTCTGCATAGTTTAAAGGTGGATCACACAAAAGGAAGATTCCACTTCAGAAACCCCTGTTAATGGAACATCTTTGGGTCTAGTGCAACAAAACAAGCAATCTCCAGACGTCACCTTGGACAGAAATTCTTACTTTTTCCATAACAGTCAATCAACGGATAAGAAATAATGGTGAAAGATTGACTGAAATGAATGAAACTAACTGTTAGTTGGAGCTCTGACCTTTAATTATGTCTTAATATAAGAACATCTCATCATGATGATCACACTACAGACATGGTCTTTCTCCCCACTGCTTGGCTCACTAAAACTGCATAAAATAAGAGATACAGACACACAAGGTGAGGTAGTGCAAACAGGGAAATCTGGGAATACTAATATTCACAACATGCATGAGGCGAAATGTTCTGAAATGTAAACTACAGCTGTCATCACAGGACTATACTGTTGGATTGAGGTCTGCAGACTATGTAATGGGCTCTATTGTTACTAGATGACAATTCTACAATGACAGAATTAGCAGTGCCACTGCCACAAGGAAATCATTTTCCACTTTTAAAGCGCGACTAAATCCTCCTCCATCACCCACAAACTTGTCTGCTGATACCTTTGCTGCCTTCTTCACAGGCAAAGTGACGGCTAGAACTAGCCGATTCTCTAAACCACTCAAAAATCAACCAACTATTCTATTCCCGCCCTGGTCAGCTGTGTGAACACGGCACAGGAAAACCTAGTAGCAGTCCTACTACATCTTTTCCTCTGCCCTCCCAGGTCAGTGGTTCTTCACTCTCCTCGTTTACTCCTCTCAGAGAGAGCGAAGTATCAGAACTCCTGATTCCAATGAATCTCCTCCAAGCCACATCTCCTACCGTGGTCCCGGCAATCAGTCACATGATAAATACTTCTCTGGCTTCAGGAACATTTATGTGTTATGCATTATTTGTTGCTGCTCTTACTAGTATGTAGTGTCAGTTGTAGATCTCGTGCTGAATTTGATGCTCCGTTGATGCTTGTATGTTGTTCCTCAAATGTAAGTCGCTTTGGATAAAAGCGTCTGCAAAATCTATAAATGTAAATGAACTCCCCTTACAGTAGAAGTACATTAGTGATATGGCACGCATAGATCAAAAGACAAAAAAAAAAAGTGTGTGCGCTGGACTTACAGACCCCAGCCTCCATCTGGCAGCTGGTCGGAGTGCAGGTACCTCACCACCACCACCACCACCTCTCGGCCAGAGGGATCTTAGCCCCATGGCATGTGATCAGGAGACCTGAAGCACAGAAACGGACCCCCATGCAGTCAGACACAGACGCACATGTGTCAAATGGTCTTCTGTCTGTTTAGAGTCAATCAATTTTAGCAAACACATGTAAATGATGGTTGGTGATGGCTGATACGCTGTTGAGCTTTTATTAAAAAGTATGCACAAACTGAAAACAGAAATTCAACACAACTTTGCACACTGATCTCCACACGGTGACTAGAGGTGATTTCTTTTGCAAAATGTGTTCTACCTTTTTTCAGAAGTCCCGTCACCTGATTAGAGCAGTGTGCATTTCTGTCTGATTTCTGTCTGTTTCACATTACAGGTGTCAGATATATAAAAAAGACACGGCGGGGGAAGATTTGGCTTTACCTGGGAACAAGAAGAGGGGCCCGCCGTAGTCCCCTGGAGGTGGCTGTAAAAATGCCTTTCAGAGCTGCATCTACAGCCATGTGGGCAGCTGGAGAGCCAGGCACAAACTTTATCAGTGATTAGATATGACCACCAGACAAATGGTAGATTACCAAAAATATCTATTCTATCAATAAGTGTATGTAAGAATAAATATCTACATTTAAAATCTTTCACTATTCACTTAATACTTACCATACACTCCATTGTTTAGTGTATCTGTTTTATACTGTTGTTCAAACTGTCAAGAGATAATTATACAGTCGTCTCAAATGAACCCAGAGCGTGAATAAGCAGAAATCACAAGCCATTTGAAGCAAAGCCTACCGTGTCCAAGCCTAGAGAGTGGGCTTCCAGCATGGTCTGCTCCCTGTCGGGGGTGTCCTGATCTTCCACATAGCACCAGGTCTGCCTGCCCTCGACATTCGTCAGCCTCCAGCGGCTCATGTCTGTGGCTGGCTCTGTCCTGTGCGGCCCGCCTCGCCTCCGCAGGTGCCTGTTAGGCCATCTGATTATTCGATATCCTATTGGATTCTTGAACGTATCATATATTTCGGAGTATACGTAGGCCACCATAAAGTCTCACAACAGTGAAAGCAATAATTCTGTTGTTGATAGAGGTCTTTGTTTGATTTGTTTATGTTCAAAACCGTCAAATCATCCTGTCTGACAGTGTAAGTGATGGAAATATAAAGACAGCCTTTCCTCCGTGTCCAAATATGTTTGAACCAAAGTATAAATGTATAAAAACTCAGTCAGGAGTCGCCCCCCAACACTAACCCCCACCATCATCCTCTACAGCACTGTCTGCTGTGGAAGCCTTCATGTGTCTGAGACCTAAAGAAGGGCGTTCAACATCAAATGGCCACAATAAAAGGCCACTCCAAAATGTGCAGTTCCATCACACAGCACAACACCACAGATGGCACAAGTTTTGAGGGAGTGTGCAGTTGGCATGCTGACTGCAGGAATGTCCACCAGAGCTGTTGCCCATGAATTGAATGTTCATTTCTCTACCATAAGCCGTCTCCAAAGGCATTTCAGAGAATTTGGCAGTACATCCACAACCACAGACCACATGTAACCACACCAGCCCAGCACCTCCACATCCAGCATCTTCACCTCCAAGATCGTCTGAGACCAGCCACCCGGACAGCTGCTGCAACAATCGGTTTGCATAACCAAAGAATTTCTGCACAAACTGTCAGGAACCGTCTCAGGGAAGCTCATCTGCATGCTCGTCATCCTCATCGGGTGCTCAACCTGACTGCAACTTTGCATTGAAGAGGAGTGGACCAACACTCCACAGGCCGCAATCAACAACCTGATCTGGAACTCTGTGAGGAGGAGATGTGTTGCACTGCGTGAGGCAAATGGTGGTCACACCAGATACTGACTGGATTCCAGACCCCCCAATACAGAGAAACTGCACATTTTGGAGTGGCCTTTTATTGTGGCCAGCCTAAGGCCTTTTATTGTGGCCAGCCTAAGGCACACCTGTCACACCTATCAAGATGCTGTCTGATCAGCATCACCACCTGTGAGGTGGATGGATTATCTCGGCAAAGGAGAAGTGCTCACTGACACAGATTTTGACAGATTTGTGAACAATATTTGAGAGAAAAAGGCCTTTTGTGTACATAGAAAAAGTCTTAGATCTTTGTTCAACTCATGATGAATGGGGGCAAAAACAAAAGTGTTGCGTTTATAATTTTGTTCAGTGTATAAAGGCAACCTGTTACATTAATCACTTGATATTTAGGCCAGCAATATATGGAGTCTGTACTATTGTATTCTTGTTTACAATATCCAGAACCATTCTGCCTTGTTATATGTTGTTGTTCATTGTTGTATGGTTACTAGACAGAGTTTTTTATTCACTTGTACATAATAGCTAAATGTTTGTTTACCTTAGGTTTTTTAGCTGTATTTCTAAATAAACAGAGTGAGAACAAATAAAGTCAAGTTTAAATTCTTTGTACTGTAGCCTGTCCACAATAAGGCAGTTTCTGCTTCAGGTCTACATGACAGTGACCTATGTTTCAATAAAGGCATTTTGTTACAGGCTGTCCATTTCAAAGCTTTATTATCAGCTGGATGTTCAGTCGCCTCTCTTGACCCAGCTTTATTTTAAAGCACATTTGGACAGGTCTACATATTTCCCACCTGACATAATGTCCTTAAACTCACCATAAATCATTGGTTTCTCATCCTCAGAAAGAGGCTTAAGTAGCATAAATCACTGCATTCATAAACCATAAGAGAAACCAGTTCTGACAGGGATTAACATCACATCTGGCACAACTGTTTAAATGTTACAGTTTAGTTATGTTAACCTTACAAATGAGAGACATGAGCAGAGACTCGGCTGTCCATTCACCAACCGTTTGGGCGGAGAAGTGGGCGGGTCTCTAATCAGATCGCTCCTACGACAAACACAACACATGTGCTCACACATCGATTACGACGAGCCGATCAGTCTCTTACTACTGAATGAAAACTGGGTAGGTTTACTTTAAAAATACTTTTATTCAATATTTAGCTGTCAGACGATTCAACAGTAAAATAAAAACACAGTCAGACACTATTAGCTGTAACAAATATTTTCAAGGTTTAAATGCAAAATAAATGGTACAAAATTAAACCAAGAGTAAGAATCTTGATTTTCTTTTCCTATTGTACAAACCCAGACTTTAATATAAAAAAACTAAACAAGACACACACTGTTACAATCAATCAATCCGACCTCAACAGACTAAAAGATGAGAAATTCACAACAGAGTGAACTCAGTATGAGCTCAGCAAATAAATGACAGGAGTCTCTCGCTGCAGGCAGAACGCCTGTTTGTCCTTAGTGCACAGCTGCAGAGTCATTTGTTAAAAGAAGTTCATCAGTCGTCAACAATGCTCAGCAGACCGCTCAGCTTCAGCCTGCAGGCCAATTCTTCCTCTTGGCTCGCCAAAATCTGTCGCTCCAGCTCCTTCAGCCGCCACTCCACAGATACAGGCGTCGTTTTAGGCCAGTCTGCTTTGTCCGACAGATCATCAGGCTCCGGCTCCTGGAGGGTCCAAACCATGAAAATGCATGACTACTGCGATTCTTGACTGCAACATTTGCAGAAGATCTTGTAGATAAATCACAGCACTGTCTGCTCTTCTATAACTGCAACAAAAGTATTAACTATTGTGTAGCTTGGAGATTAGGTAACTGCAACTACCTCATCTTTAATGAAGAATATGCAGCGCAAATTAGCTTCAAGGGTTAAACTCAGTAGGTTTGACTGGACCTGCCTCCTTCACTATTTCTGTTACCCAGACTGACTGTTTGTAAAAAGACCTAACTTGTCCCAGGAGCTCTGAATGTGAGGGGAGGGGACACGTCATACCTGTGTGAGAGGGGCATCTCGAGTCTTGGCTGTGGGCGCGTGGATTATGGTTGTGGGCATGGACAACAGAGTGGACGATGGAATGAAAAGCGGTGTGGACAAGTGGTCCAAGGGGTCGCCGTCCAGCCAACGCTGAAGCTGCTCCATGCTCCTGTAGACAGTAGTGCGCGTTAGACATGACACACACACACGGTGGATTTAATAATACATCATTAAAGGAGTTTGCCAGTGAACAGTGCAACTATCTATTTTTGATAAGGTTATTACTTTTTTATTTAGGGATGCACCGAAATGAAAATTCTTGTCCGAAGCCAAAACTGAATTTTATGAAAAAATTTGCTGAATACAAACAAGTACATTCACATTTTTTGCCTTTTTCCCCCTTGCATAAATTAAACAGTCAAAATGAGCTTTTCCCTCAGTGTTTCCCACAGGATGTGGAGAGACTATGGTGGGGGGCCCGGGGCCCGACAGGGTCCAGTAAAGTAAATTACATGAGTCCACTTACTTCTAATGGACACATGTAATGTGTTTTATACTTTCTGTGAATATAATCCAATTAATCTTATTTCCATCCTGTACAGACGCCTTATTTTGAAAACCGGACGTTGTCACATGTGTTTCCTCCTCGCGCTAAATTCATCCAGTCCGACCCGGTTTGATAAATGCTGTTTTATGTGGTTCTGGTCTTCACAGCCTCTCTTCAGGTAGGACTCTCATCCTGCAGCACTCGTCTTTGTAAAGAGACAACCTGACAGGATAAAGTCTCTAACCTGCCTGTCAGCTCGCTCTGGGCCGCTTCACTTACCGTAAAGGCTCGAATACGTGTGCACTCCAAATGTAGGTGCGGCTAGCTTAACCTCCTTCTCACAGACGAGTGACAGAAACACAGAAGCGGTTCTTTTCTAAGAAGTCAGCCACAGATGGAGCTGATGTGCTGAGTCAGTTCAGCAGAAAACAGCTCAGACACTTTAAAATACTTCCACACTGCTGAAATGGCAACAACCTTTTTTTTCAGCCGATTAATTTCGGTGGCCGAACATTTGCATCCCTATATTTATTAATCTACACCTCCTCTGTTAAAAATGTGCAGTCTACAAACTTATAGATGCAATGGAAGTTTTTCAAACCGGGGCATAGCTGTACCTTTTGCTTTCGGCCTTCTCCTCCTCTAAGCTCTGGAGGACTCTGTGGGCCAGCAGCTCTTGTGCTGTGGGAGTGTGTGTGATGTCTATCGGGGCTGTCGGGGCCTCCAGGGGCCCCATCACACTGTGGAATAACCTCTGCCTGAAGGACAAACCGGTGGGCGTGGCACAAGCTGCTGCACTCGCCCTGAGAATGGAGGAGAGGGAGACAGGGACAGATCAGGAGGAGCACTGTAACTGTGTACCTCGCCATTAAGAGAGGTGACGTTAGCAACCACAGGAAGTAGTAGCAGGAACTCTAAACTCTCTTTGGATCGTCCTACCCTTCCTTCTCTTCCTGTTTCTCCCTGTGGGTTTGTCTGATGGCCTGGGTCCATTCCTCAGGTGGCTGGAAACCCTTCAGTGACTCTGTGGGGAAGTACACCAGGATCTCCCCATCCTCTGTCACAGCATCTTCAACAACACCACAAACAAATCATTTCATTTTTTAATACAAGTCATCCATCAGTAGGTTCACATGGAAAATGCATCACTGTAAAACAACCATCCCCAAAAGTATCGTCACCTTCGCAGACAGGTGCAGGGATCTGCCAGTCTTTCAGCTTGTGGTCTATGCAAATCACCAGAATGTCGTCCCAAGGAATCTGACTGAATGCTGGCCACGTTTCCTCGTCTCCGTCGCCCCAGTCGCTCATGGTTACCCTGGATCCGGGGGTTTGGGTACGGTGACCCTTCAGCCTGACCCGTTCCAGAAGGTTTTCCAGGCGTGACATTAGAAGAGGCTGACTGCGGCGAGAGACTGGGATCCGAGCAGCGTAGCGAAAGATGGAGGAGCAGAGCTCAGACCACGAGTCTAGAGAGGGGGAGATAATAAAGGAAGTAAGAAGGAAGGAAAATACAACGACTATTGGTTTCTTGTTCACATCTCAGTCACTGACCTGTGGACGATGGCTGCTCCCACTGCGGCAGCTGTAGGCTGAGGATGGCTGCGCGCAGCCAGGCCAGCTGCTGGGTGGAGTTCCAGCCCGGATGAGGGACAAACTCACGCATATCAGGCTGGCAGAACTCCCCCGGCGGCCACGAGAGTCTGCTGAGCTCCTGGGACGACACTTTGTCAGCAATGTGAGCCAGGACGGCGTTGTACAGCCGGATGACAGGCGCAGGCTCCTGGGAGGGGCGACGTGCAGCGGCCCTGTCCTGGCGGTGGGCGTAAACTCTGGGACTGAACTCACAACTCAAGCTGGCCTCCACGAGCTGCACCAGGGTCTGGCAGGAGAGCGGGAAGGGTGGTGGAGCACGGGCCAGCAGCCAACGCATAGCCTGGCTCAGCTGGAGACACAGCAGGACGAGCGGGACAGAAGGTGGAGAAGGTTAACGGGCTATAAAGACTTTGAAGAAATGTTTCAGAACTATCAAACGATCCATTATCAGTGATTCTGAACCTTTCTGGCTCACGACGCCTCACAATGAAGGAGGCTGTATTTGAGACATACCTTCATCTCACTACTTCACAGATACAATAATTCCTAATTTACACAAATGTGTTATTTTGAGACAGCTGTCATGTTCAGTATTCATGATACTGTGCTTACTCTGACTAGCGGACAGGGGAAAGTTGTATACTATACAGTTGACAGTAGAGGTGGGAGAAAAAAATTGATTCCTAAATGCATCGCGATGCAGACGAGGAAAAACCAGAATCGATTAACAAATGTAAAACAAAAAAAGATTATTTAAATTAAAAATATTAGCAGTAAGTGTCTGTCTGGTAGTAAAGGTGCAGTGTAGGTCACAGTGCGTCCGTAAGTCTGTAGTTTCCCCAACAGCTGGAAAAGTGAAGGCTGTTAGCGCGAGCTAACGTCTCCCCTGTACAGCACATTTTTTACCTGTTATGCAACGTTAGTTAAATTAGTAACGTAGTTATGTTAATTGGCTCAGCTGTAGGTCTTATCTACTTGTCAGGTACAAGCTTAGACTAAACTGGTGTCCAGCACACACTGTACATCCTGATAATTATATTTGGTTGTTAAAGAAATGAGGTACCGTGGAGCTGAGAGGTTAATGAAATAAATCAGAGATGCAAACTAGTCCCTTTTTTGATTTTGATGCTTAGTCAGGGTTTTTCAGGCAGAGAGATATTTTTGACGCCTCCCCAAAGAGGTTTTAGCGAGCGCCAAATGTGTTTTAATAACCATGTATCAAACAACTGTTGAGCAAGCTAACTGATTGCCTTTCCTGTACGCGTACGGATCATGCTTACTGTTAAGTCTCCATTCTGAGCCAGGAAAAACCCTGTTAGTATTATCCACAGATCCTGTATCAAAATAAAAAAAGATGCATCAAGATACATCGAGAATCGTTTTATAATTGAATCTCAGCCCATTGAATGGAATCCCACCCCTAGTTGGCAGCTTGCTGTGGGAGTGGGTTCAATGACAAATGAAATCAAACATTTCCTCAGACCTTTGGAGTGAGTTATGACGGTGTTGAGCTGCACTATGTAAACTGATGTTAAGATTACACGACATGTTTGAGAATTGTTGCGTTTCCTTGCAAAGAATTTTACTTGATTAATGTAAAGTGAGCTCACTGTTTTGATTTTACTATTTAAGTCCAGTCTCGCTACTCTCATCTGCATTTTTAGCAGAGCAGCAAGCAGCTGTTTGCAGCAAAAAAGCTCTAAGAACCTTCTGTGTGCTACCTAACCAGCACCAAATAGCAGATAGACAACAAAGTTAGCAACTAGCTGGTGAATATAGGGGAGTATTTAGCAGCTGAAGAGACAGATCTTTCTCAGGGGATTTGCTAGAGACAAAAAACTGAACTCAAGTGTGAATACTGGGCTTTCTTTTGCCTTACATACAGTGGCTTTTAGAGCTTTTTTGTAGCTGCCTGCTGGGGCTGAAAATGACACTAAGAGCGGTGAACTGACACAACAAAACATCAAAGTTGTGGGCCAGACGGCTAAATTAAAAGACACAAGAAATTCCCCGAGCACAACAACAATCAGGTAGGTGCTGGTAGACAGCAGGATGAGATGCAATGGGCAAAACGTGGAGTGCAGATTCAGCTGATAAGTCTCTGTGGGTTCATCATGATTATAAAATGATCGAATACAGTCGCTTTAGCCTAAACACGACATCATATCCCAACACAGTCCTGCTTGTGAAAGTGAATAACTTTAAAGACTGTGGCGTTAGTGTCTGTGCATGTGTGGTACCTGTTTGGATCCCTTTAGGTCACTTGTGGTTTCTGGTATGAAGAAGAACGTGTACTCCGATATCAGGCCTTCCTTCACCAGTGTGTGCAGCATCAGTGCTGAGGGACAAGGCACCGTGATGAATAAATACTGCAACTTCCATGTTGCGTTAATCCTCGTGACCATAACTGTATTCTTCAGGAAGCTATTTCAGTCATTATTACTGTTATTAATTACCTTCTTCAAGTTTCTGTGCGTCACCGTCGGGCCCCGGCACCAGAACGACCAGAGGCAGCGGGCAGTGCCAGGTGCTGGCTTGCTGCAGCTGTTTGAGCTGCAGCAGGGCTGACAGCAGGGGCACATCCGGCTCCTCGTGCCCGGGCTCGAGGATGGGCATGGCGGGGAGCAACGTGATCAGAGCTCCTGTTCCGTGGAGCTCACAGCACTCCTCCATTTTGGACATGCTGTCTTCGGTCAGAGGACCTCGGGACGCCTGGGAGAAACCACCGAGAAGTCAAAAAACACAGTGCCAAATATTTCCATTATTACCAACCTGGGTTATTATACAGTGGAGCACATACAGTGTTTGGAAGCTTTGCTAATTAATACCAGAAACAATAACTGAGATTTCTGTCTCCTCAATTAGCATTTAATGACATCCAAACACGACTTTCCACAGTGTACAGTGAGTTGCTGTGGAAATCTACTAACTGTAATGAAATATTAACGATAAATGTAAATGTTCATTAAATATATGCATCAAATCATTTATCACCATTGATGACCATTGACCCCACAAAGAATATTTTAGCGTTTATAAGCAGTTTTTGGGGGTGCATGCAATTCTCCGCAGGCAGGCGAAACTCGGCACAACACCTGGTTGGTGTCTGCTATGCAGAGCAGGTTGGAACCGTACCTACCTGAGAGTCTGAACCGAGCAGGTCCAGAGCAGAATACGGGAATATATTAGACGGGCGTCCAAGGAGTTTTCACTTTTACCTTTTTTTGGAGCCTACTACATGTTGTTCCTCAACCGGCCTAATATAATGATTTAAATGTGTTCATTATGTTGTTGTTACTTTGTTGTAGACTACAGTTTAGGCAACTGATTCATTATAAAGGGGACATATTATGCTTTTTCATATTTTCTGGCTTATCTATAATATTACAAATAATGAGGTAAAAGTATTTAAAAGAAACCTCAGATATCCGCCTGTTCTGAACGCTCTGTTTGTAACTGCTTTTTCTACCAGCGGCTCGGTGTGATGTCATTCTGAGCCGGATTTCCATATATGGACATTTTCTCCAGGCAGAGAATGCTGGCCACGCCCACAAAGGAACATGCAGCCCTATCCCTGCGGCAACCTGGTAAACAGATTGGACAATGGCCAATCAGAAGACAGTGGGCTTTGAGGGGGGGGGCTCAAAGAGACAGGAGCATCTACATCTTGTTTCAGACAGAGGCTGAAATGAGGGCCTGCATGAAGAGACAGTATAAGATAGAAAAAGTAACAGAACTACAATATAGCAGTGGGAATGCAGTATAATAGGTTTCCTTTAAACTGTAGGCTATTTGACTTTTGTGATCTGTAATGAAATTAAGCAGCTGTAAAATGAATAAACCCCATAACTACCACACTGTGTTGTCATCACCAAGTTTAAAGTGCTCTCACACAGCTGAGGGCTTCATTTTGTTTTCCCTTTGATGTGAACTGGAGCTTTATGTTCACTGCTCTGAGCGGAGGTCAGGCGCACAAAAAACCCTCAACATTCAAATCTCATAATTAAAAATGGAACGTGTACCCAACGAATGTGAATATTCGGGTCCAGCCCTCAAATAAACACCACAGCCTTTAGCCCCGGGGCCTGTGTATGTATGCATGTTTTTGTCGTGATGACGATGACAATGCAATTTATCGGTCAGCACTATTATTAATCTTTGTAGAACTCCAGCTTTATGAGTATGACACTTTACATTCCCCTGCACATATCAATTTTGCACATGACTGCAGTGTGATCTTACCTTGACGCTGATGTGGACTTTGTGAGTGTGTTGTCCTTTATCCTGCAGCGTGTTGGTGACACAGACCGTCTGTAGTGCGCCATCTGGCTGCTCCTCGCCGCCCGCCCAATTGCCACCACCAAACTTCGCCTCCAGCCAGTCTGACAGGATCCTGAAGACAACAGACATTCAATGAGAAGAAATTCAATTCAATCTTAACGGAAATCAAAACGTCTGCTGTTACCGTCGGAGACCTGCTGTCACACCGAAGCGCAGCTGCTTACCTGTCCGCCAGGCTGGCTACACTCTCGTGGTCGCTAGGCAAGAGGAGAACAGCCTTCCAGAAGATTCGGTCAGGTGGGTCGGAGATATTTTCTGTCGCCAGTGCTGGCAGGTCGAGTGGCGCCCACACGCTCTCACTGAGAGAAACACCCAAAAGAGGTGAAAATGCTGCTCTGTGACTTGAAACACTGACCGGCTGAACAAACATAGTCATGACTTACTCGAGCAGCTGCTGATAGTAGTAGTGGACTCTCATCTGGTGGATCACTTCTTCTCTCATTTTCAACAACCTTAACAAAATACAAAACAGGTTTCATACTTACTGGAGCCGTAATTCGTTTCAAGGATGACAAAGCTAGTAAACTAAAAAACAACATTTATCCACAGTCTGCATGCTGCAGCGTTGCGCAATATTCATCGTTTTTTCATTCAGCCAATGCTCATGTGCATGCCAAACACACACTTTGTGATTGGAGATGAACACACCTGGTGCTGGAGAGGGCCAGCGTGCCGGCGTTTCCCAGGTTGACCAGACCACGGGCCAGATCTGCCATGGAGGGCTGCGCAGGGGCGCTGGGGGCCAGAGCCTTCAGTTTGAATCGAGGGTCCACACAGCAAGGAGCCGCAGGGAAACCTCTCATCTGTCTCTTCAGCTGCCGACGCACTGCTACCACATCACGCCACCTGGGGGCGGAGAGGAGAAAAGTAGAAACAGAGAAACTGTAAAATAGTGTTAATTTTAAAATTTAGTTTTAGTCCTGTGTCAAAGTTCCTTGTTACTTTTAAAGGTCTGGGTGTTTTAGTCAAAAGCAAATCAAAAGTATTTTAGTCTAGTTTTAGTCATTAACCATCATTTTAGTCTTTTCTAACTCATCAGTATAATTTTGATCAGCAGTTTGGTCGATCTGCTCGAACCAAAACAGAGATATGTTTTGAATGTCAGCTTTGTTCTCATTTTTCTTTTGCAAGAGAGACATTAACGTTCCTCAGTTCCCAGGTGGTTAGGCTTGATATGCCGCTTCAAATTCGTAGTGTCTTTTCAAAAATCTCTAACTCTACATAGCTTTCGGGTGAGCTTTTTCCCGTGACGGGGAGGAGGGCGCCAGGCTGTGATTCTTAATGCTGAATCATTAATAGCTGCAAGCATGTCGGCCGGGGGCTGACTGTGAAGGTATCAGGCATGTCTGTCTTACTATAATAATAATAATTTCATAAGTAGCCATTTTGCTACAGTTACGCTTCACACAGCAGCTGTGTTTGCGACCTGACCTTTCTTTTCTCAGTGAGAGGGAAGAGTTTAGAAAGTTGCGTGGCGCTGCAGGGAGCCCCCAGCTGCGGTAGTAGGCCTACGTGGATCTTGGTAATATTCATCCAGCCAGTTCACAGCGTGTCGGTCAGACTAGCGACACAACAAGAGGGAGTGGGGCGGACCAGGGACAGGAGATCACGGAGCGTCTGGCCCCTCTGGTGATCGTTCCCTCTGGCTGGATGAAGTCACTTCGCATGATCCATGATGACAGAGAAATAAAGCAAGCTGTCAATATTTTAGAGACCCCTGAAATATCACAAATCATGCTTTTAGGGGAGCTGACATCTAAGCGCCTCTTCCTCCCGAGCATGTTGTGTTCATCACCAGAGTTCGCATCCTCCACAGTAACGCTCCTCGCGCACCGGTCGCCCAGCATGCAAAGCACAGGAAGAAAAAAATACCGTCGAATGAACACACTGTTCATTTTGTCTCCTCATTATACTGACAAAAAGAAAGATTTTATTAACGTTTTTATTTTATGAATTACATTTTAGTCACTATTGCACGTTAATATTGTCACAGTCAGCGTCTAAGAACATTGTCGCCGTCTCGTATTCATCAGGGAAAAAAAGGTCGTTGACGAATATACTGTATTTCGTTTAGTTTTGCGTGACGAAAGTAACACTAGTGTAAAACGATATTTAAAACCACATTCTACCAGAATCAGAAGGGTGTCCTGGCGTGCCAGTATAACAGGTTGGTGTTGGCCTCCTATCAAATATTCAACATCGACCAGGCTGAGAAATTCTTGGGTTTGGCTCTGAATATTTCTCTCGCTTATCACATTTTCTCGCTTTCTTACCTTTTGATGTACTTGTGGATGCGCTGCAGCTCAGCTTCAAGGACGTCTTCAACCAACAGAGCGATGTCCGCATTCAAAGTCTCCTCGACTAGCCTGCTACAGACCTGCTCTGTGCATTTAGCCACACGGTCTGCTTTCTCATTCACTGCCCGCCTGAAAAAGTGTCAGTGAAACTCATTAGTGAAAATAAGTGTGCCACTTGAAGACGTTGTACTTTATGATATATACCTAAGTCATCTTGTTAATTATGTAACTCCACATCAGACCAGATCAGTATTTTAAAGCCTTACTGGATTTCAGAGGTGGCGGTCTCCTTGATGGCCTCATCTAAAACTTCTTGGATGATCTCAGAGCAGATGGAGAAGCTGAACTGAACCAGGAAGGCCTCGTGCTCCTGCCTCCTCCTGGCACCGACAGACATGGAAAAAGAAACGTGGGTGAGCTACTTTGACAATAATTTTCAACTGGCAAAATACTGTGATTGTGATGACTGATTGCAGCTATGAATCCCGAAGAAAGGATTTGTGGAAAATAGAACTTATTGTGCAGCCCTACTCCGGATTGGGGATGGGCGGATCGACACTGTGGGTTCATTTGGTGTAGATTCCTTGAAAATATGGATAATAAAATTATATAAATCCAAATCCTGGGTGGCTGCATCACTTCCAGATGTGGCCAGTACTTTTGTATAATGCTTGTTCCAGATAACAGCCCTGACATATTTAGTTTAGTGACTGTGGAAACCTATGTGACACTCACTTCTGCATCAAACCTGTGAGAGGAAGGCAGACAGGAACTGTAGCGTGGTGTCGCTACTTTTCACCCGTAGATTAAGACATCGAGCGAGACGGATGCACCATTTGTGACGAGAGAAACCACGGCCTGTTAAAGAAGATCTTTAAGAAAGTGCAAATGGGCACACGTGTTATAATTATTTATTTTATTATCATCATCATAGTTGTTTTAGGAATATTTTTCATTAGGACTGGGCACGTTAACGCATTAATTAATTAACGCCGACAATTATTGTATCTCACGTTAGTTTTTATTACTATTATTTTGAAAGCCCGATGCTCACGGAGTCTGAACACACATCCAGTCAAACCCCGGGTCACGGGAGGGGCGGGATGTTGATCAGCCTGCAGATCAGCCACCCAAACGAGCAGCGGAGGGAGGCTTCGGCAGACTGCGCTGGATGCAGAACACAGACTGTTTCTGCTGCTCCCTGAAAACAGATTTCTATCTGTTCACCTGCTGCTCAGAAGGAGCCTGTCATGATGTTCTGATCGTGGCTCTGGACTCTAACTTGTTTTAACTAGCTAGATAAAAGTTAACGCCCTGGCAGCGGCAAACAGCTTTGGTTTAATGTTGATGTCGATTACTTTAATGTTTAAGTTGAGATTTACAAGAAATATTTTATTGCTGCTGTGTAAAGTGAACACTGCTGGGAAAAAGAACCTTATTTGTTTAAAATGTTTGCAAACAACATGTTATTGCACTTTTGTGTTTACAGCAGTACATTTAAAAGTGCATAATACACTACTTTAGAATTCATTATTCAATTTTGCGCTTAACTATGTCGTTAATCGCGATTAAAAATTGCAATCGTTGCCCAGCAATATTTTTTTTTACACTTATTAGCACACACATTTTTATTTAATTGTACTCATATTTACTTTTGTAATAAACGTGTTATTAATGACCAGTATGCGTCACGTGATTTGACATTTAATGATCTAAGAAATGATCAGTATCAATATATCAAATGAAAAATGTTTGATATCCTAAACTCTGAATGTCACAATCTGTATGGAATGTTTTGTTGACAGTTTTACAAGTAGGGCTGGGTGAAAAATGTTACCACGATAAAAACATTTCATTTCATTCGATATCGATAATTATCACAACATATGTCAAATCATTATTTCATTATTATATTATCATTATTGTTTTATTGCACAGCCCTATTTTACAAGTATGTTTGAATACACGGACAAATACAATTAAGTAGATTTCTATGTTCAGGTAGAGTTCTATAAATTAAGAGGTCATTATCGAGCCGCCATCAACTGTCAGTACACCAACCTGGCTTCTTCGAGCTTGCGTTTCTCTTCAGCGACACGCTCCTGTTCCAGCTTGATCTCGGAGGAGGACACCTCCTGCAGCATGCGTCCCAACACCTCACTCACCAGTGACTCCGCCTGCACGCTGCTCTCCCTGCGACAACAGCCACATCAAAACACAATTACAAAATCAGCTTCCTATCACCTAAACAATATCTCAAAAAACAAGAATCTCATGTCCAAGGAGGACCTTGAGAAAAATCACACATGCATTCATCTTTTGTAGACTGGATTATTGTAACAGTGTTTTCACAGATCAGTTTTGAGATCACTCCACAGGCTTCCAGTGAATGAAATCATCAAGTTTAAGACCCCTCAGGTCTTCAGATGCTGGGCTGCTTGCCGTTCCCTTCACAAGACCAAAACATGGAGAAACAGCTTTCTGTTTTTATGCTCCTCATGCCTGGAATAAACTCCCAAAACACCCGAGAATGGCTAGCAGGTGCTTTAAGTCAGGTCTTAAAACATTCCTGTTCTCTGACGCCTTTTAAACTTTTACAATCGTATTTATCACCATTTATCTGACAAAGTTTTCTAGCTCAGTCCAACACATTTCTCTTTTAATCTCATCGTTTTGTGTTTTAAGATCAATTTTTATTTCATTTCTTTTTATAGTATTTTAATGTCTCTTTTTCTTTTTGTATTCGCTTTCTCGCGAATGTAATGCACTTTGACAGATAGATGTTTATTGTTTTAATCTTGATTTTTTTTATCTACTGCTCATTAATTATCTAGCTTTATATTATAAAGTGCCTTCGTGTCTGCTTTGTGTCTGTAAAGCACTTTGAAAGACAGTAGTGGTGGTAAATAAATCAATAAATTTGACTTGCTTGCCTTTCCACAAGGACAGCGAGTTAAACTTTTTAATAAAAATAAAAAAACTCCATTGTCTCTACAGACTGTAAACAAATAAAGTAAGAAAGTAAAGAAGAGAAAGTAACATGATTTTGACGTAGCTGTAACAAAAAAGCTGGATACGTCACATGAACGTACGCAAGAGCTGTAGCTGCATAGCTGGCTCCATCATCTGCCAGCTCCTTCACTGCTGCTTCAACCACCTCTTCAATCACACTGTCTAGCACAGCCACAACGTCCTGCAGGAGGGAACAAAAACAGCAGTCACTGTCATGTCACACTAAAAACAAACAGCAGTTCAGTGTTGCTTTAATGAGCTGCAATTTAAACCAAACTGAGCCCTGTTATCATTTGGTTAACTGTTGTATTATATTTAAAGCTGGAACTAAGGACAACTAATGGTAATTGTTTGGTCTGTGAAATGTCAGAAAATATTTAAAAATGCCCAACGTCTCCTGAAGTCAGTCCCAAAACCACAAAACGTTACACAAAAGAGAAGCTGAGACCAGAGAAACGTTTGGCATTTTTTTGATTCTTTGACTTCAGACGGACGTACCGCAGTTGTCATTTGGTGGCTAAAATGCCATGTTTTTTTAAATTTTAAGGAATGCAATACATTTTCAAGGCTCATTTAAAGGCTCACTAAAAATACTCCATTACAGGTAAAAACCCTGCTTTTAAAATTTTAATTAATCATAAGTACATTGTCAGCAAAATGTACTAGAAGTCTTCAGAAAGACTGCTTTATGTGTTAGTTTTATGATGTTAAACTGCAAAGTAAATACAGTTGTCAGAAAAATGCAATGGAGTAAAAATATATTTCCATCTGCAATGCAGAGGACTCTAACGTAGCATAAAAATGAAATACTCGTATTGCCTCATGTACATAGCAAGTGAGTGAGTTACTTCCCATCACCAAATTTAATTTAAGACACCATCAGTAAGGAACACATGGATCAGAGCAGAGGTACGGTAACTGTATTGGTGTGGCTGCAAAATAATCATGTACTTGAGAAATGACGTGTCCCAGTGGGGAATTGAACCCCGGTCTCTCACAGCAAAGGCGTGTGCGCCATCACCTCCCCTGTGGCCAGTTAGCGTGAGCGGGTCACTGCACATTTCTTAGTCAAATAAATGTTAGCGTGTGACGGTTCTTTGTCCCGCTAACCTTCTCTATGTGTCTATTTGTGTGAAGCAGCATTTCCATATTCCTGCCACTCCTTTGTCTCAGAAGAGCAGCTGTAGATCATCGTCACCCTGCTGCATGTTGTCACTGGACATATTTGAACTTTGGCTGCAGAGGACACAACATCTGGTGGAGGAACTCATTCAGGGGGTCTGGCAGATTTTACAGGTGCATTTAGTCAGATTCCTTTTTTCTTCTATGTAGAGCAAATTAAACAGCTTTGGGCTGGAGGTGGACAGAATACTGAGCTTAAACCAGTTAGGGTTGATTTCCTTTGGGTTTTTTTCTCTTCCCTTAAAACACTTTGAGAAAACAGCAAAAGATAAAAACATGAACTAAATGATGAAATGAGAGAGAGCATTAACAATGAAGTATGAAATCTATAAAATAGAAAGCTATACTGCTGGAGTCCAGATATCTAGAACATGCTTACACATTCTTCTTCTTCTTAATATTACTATTATTCTGTGTATTGTTCTGAGCCAACATTAATCCTCTCAGAGGTATTTTAGAGACGTTTTTCAGCTGAGTAGAAGAGTTTTGTGTTTTCTGATTGTTGAAGAAAAGTCTCAGGAGGAGAGAGTTCTGAACCGAAGACGGGTTACAGTCAGTGTAATAACCTGATCTCTCAAACAGGTTTCACTCTGAAGAATGGAAGGTCTCTACATTAACAGCAGCTCACAGGACCAAAGCTACGATTACAGCAACACCACCTCCAACTACCAGAAAAACAGCAGCACCACCTCCAACTACCAGAATTTCAGCAGCACCACCTCCAACTACCAGAATTTCAGCAGCACCACCTCCAACTACCAGAATTTCAGCAGCACCACCTCCAACTACCCGGATTACAACGAGTTCTATGAGTATCTCAAAAAACTTGATTTTATCTTAAATGTGGTCACATACATAATCATTGCTGTCGGCCTTCCTCTGACCCTGGTGGCCATCTATGCTCTTTATTCTATGGTATGTACATTCTGACTGGGAGTTATTTATTTCCTGTCTGTGTGGTGTGTCTGTCCTACAGTCTGTCTGTCTGTAAAGGATCTGGATGTGGTTTGGGGGCTAGGTGTCAGGGGGCTGGGACAAAGGCTTGGAATGATCTATAACCTGACAGGAATAATTGACTCCAGAATTCAAATGTCCATGAAGCTGATTGGACCCTAAACACATGCAGTTTCCATGTGTGGCTCCATTCCAGCCTTCTCTTAAACTGGTGAGCTTAATGACTCTATCAAGTTCTTTGCCTCCAGTTCTTATTTGTGCGATCCTCCCTGAAATGCTGATTCAAGGAGGAGAGAGGCTCACCTTGCAAACACAAACATGTGGCTCAAACTGCGACTCCAGTCTGGTGCGTCTGTCTGATAAATCCAGCTCATGTGTTTAAGCCAGAAAGCTTCATATCTGTGGCTGAAAAACTGCTGCAGAAGCTGCAGGAAATCTGGCCCTTAGTCTTGTTGCTGCACTGATTGGCCAGCAGGTCATATCTGAGATTTCTGTTGGATGAAAAAGTCAGAAATGGCTCTGACTGCAGCTGCTGGGCAGAGCAAGATGACAGATTTGGGAGGAGGTGGACTTCACAACATGTTTCCAACTGCTTGTTGACTTTTACCAATTGTTTTCCTGCAGGTGAGAAGAGATCATGTTGCTCCCATCTGCGTCATCAACCTCCTCATTGCCGACGTCCTTCAGTTCTGCTACATGATCGTTCGGGTGGCACCAAATGTGGATGAGACGATCTCTGAAATCTTCTCATTTACTTACCTCCCTGCTGTGTTTGCCAGTGTTTACTTCATGGTCTGCATCGCCCTGGAAAGGTATCTGTCTGTCTATCCAGTATGTGTGGAGCTCCTTCTGTGTCTGAACATTATATTAGTTTATAACTCTATAGCTCCTCAAAGACTTTGTGTCCATCTTGTATTACAGGTATTTGGCCATCGCCCACCCGCTGTGGTACCGCTTCAGACGAACCATCAAGACCTCTGTGGTGCTCTGTGTCCTGGTCTGGGTCCTTTCGTTTGTCTGTGTCATCTCTTTCTATTTCACTCATGTCACATACACACTCTTTGCCGTCCTCCTCCTCCTTCCCTTCCCTCTGTTAATATTCTTCCTGGTTGGGACCCTCAAAGCCCTGTCTGCTTCCATCTCGGTCCCCTCTGATGAAAAACGACGAATTGTGGGAATTTTGGTTCTGGTGCTGCTTATTTACACTCTGCTGTTCCTGCCCAGCATCATTTGGTTGCTGGTAGAAAACTATGACGAGACCCTCAACAGCCTGTATTTCATCTTTGTTAGGTTGAGTCCTCTTGCAGACTTGTTCCTGTATGTCTTCATGAGGAAAGGGTTCATAGACAAGCTTTTGGCCTCTGTGTGTTGCTGCAGAATGGACAGCAATCATATCAGCAGTCCATCAGTATGAATGATGAAAACATTTCCACAGTCAGCTTCATGTAGGCAGAGAAAGAGGGAGAGAGAGAAAGGGGAGGAAACAGGAGGAGAAATGGAGGCCAATAGAAAGGATAGAGACGAGACAGATCCTGTCATCTACTGAGACCATTTCCAATAAGACACATAACTGTAGAGAACAGGAAGCACTGTTTGGACTCTGCTGTGGGAGAAGTGGCTGCTGGGAAATGTTTTGGACAACTTGCTCTGGTTCACTGTGATGGCTTCAACACATGGAAATAAAATGTGTTTTATTAGTTTGGAGCTGGAAGTTGATGTCTGTCATTATTCTCCTTTAATCCCAGAAGCAAAGCAGATATTATTTTAGATGAACTGAGCTCATTCTAGCCGCCTCGCTGTCTTCTTCCTAAATCTTTATTTGGACTGTTGTTTGGATGTTTAACACAGGGAGAGCATCTCAACACGTCTTTATCACTTTGTACTTTTTAAGTGTAATTTCTGCTGTTTTAGTGGTAGGCATGCTGCTGTTTAGGATGGGATTTAGAGCAGCTGTTTTGCAGCAGCTGTTGTGTGCTTGGCAATCTGGAGAAAATCTTAAACCAGTTTGTCAGTTTCTATGAAATTGTACTTTTTCTGGAAATCCAATAAAAATCAGTTTGTACATCAAACTGTGAATGTTTGTCTTTGAGCAACTCAGTGAATTAAAAGCTGACAAATGAAGGTTCAACAAAATCTCTGCTGGTTGACAAATCTCTATTGTCTATATGAACATAAAGCCCAACCTGCTGTTAGCAGGGAGGCATCCTGCACTTTATGACCAAATGAGGTTTCCTCACAGCTCTTAAAGCTTTCAGACTTTTTTAGATAAGAATTTGGGGCAGAAATGATAAAGTGTGACAGGGACAGTCACAATAGATCAGACCAACATGTTTCAGTAGAAGTTAGTAAAGTCTGCTGTATGTTTCCCCTTTTTAAACTTTAGCTCATTATTAGCTGAGATCCAACAAGAACAAGCAGATTTCCCAAACTGCTAAAAGCTTAAAGTAATGACTTGATAAGCTGCACAGTGAACACAGTTATGATGATGAATTAAATCAATACTAATTTTAAATCATACATGATAACAATAGAAAATAAAACCTTAATTCAGTATTGTGTAATTTCAGCTCCATTCAGAGCTCACAGGTGTAATTTCCTTCTCCTCAGACAGAAATACCCGTTTGGTTCGTCCACTGATCCCTTCCAAACTAAAAACTAGAGGTTCATCTCACCTCTACCGTTCCTTGTGGATTTCTAGGTGGTTTCTTTATTGTGTTGTATTGATGTACCGGGGAAATAATTATATTAACATGTAACACATAGAATTTACAATTCAGCGAGGAGGTCTCCAAGTGAAACACCTAATGTGGCCTCAGATAAAGGTCTGAGAGATCTCGCCCACCTCATTGCTGTACGCCGGCTGAGGTTTGGGTGGAGGTGATGGCGGCTTCACAGGCTGAGGCATCGGCTGGAACAGCTGGGCGTTTGCTGGGCGGGACGAGCTGCGGTACGGCTCTCCTGTCTCATCTGTGACAGCTGGAGGACACCCAAACGCACCGGGCACGTCTACGGCCGGTGGCAGCACCTCAGTGCTGGGTGGTGCCTTAACCTCCACCCTGGCAGCAACAGCTGAGACAATAAACAAACATTTCAGCGGTAATTAATGAGACCGATTCTCTACATTCTCATCGATGGGATTAGAATACATACTTATTTCTTAATTTCATTTTAATATGGTTGTTAATTAGGGCTGCATGATTATGGCCAAAATGATAATCACGATTATACTGATCTAAGTTCAATATTCACTGCCAGTCTATTTTTGACTGAAGCCGCGTCAAGCAGCACAGAGCAGAGGAACCACAAGGAAGTCAGACACAGAACGGCGTAATGAAACTGGTAAATTTTCAAAATAACACACCCTGTGGAGATTCTCGATTGTACATAATTAACTGTGATTTTTGTTGATTTATGATCGAGAGTATGCACAGGGTGTTTTATTTTGAAAATTGACCGGGTTCTCTACGCCGTTCTGCGTCTGACTTCCTGCCCAGTTCGATCTGCTCTGTGCAGCTTGACGCAGCTTCTGTCAAAAATAAACTTGTGTATTCTTCGCCGAGCCGAGAGCTGCATCTGGGACGAGCTGCGTCTGATGGACTCGCAAGCACTGAGCAGAAGGGCTTTGAAGTTTAGGAAGCGCTTGATTTGATATGCAGCGGAGTTTTCCATGAGCGGAGCACGTATTTTAAACTGCGATATCGACGTCGATCACGTTCATTTAATTGTGGGAAGGTAAAATAGTAATAATGATCGATATTCGATTAATTGTGCAGCCCTACTGTTAATAAATGGTAAAGTGTTCCTCAAATTCCAGTAGCTCTAAAATGCAACACAAAATGTGTCAGAGGTAAAGACATGGAACTAGTCTTCAATATAAACAACGCTGTTCAGTTCTATTTCAATGAGACACTACGTCTATTGTAAACTGGAGGAATAGAAACTATTTGCCAGGGTTGGATCACTGTAATGGAGCAAATACCGTTGAACTGGCTTGAAGTGGGCTCAGCCAGAGCGCCTTCTCCACGGTACTTGTTCTGGGAGTCAAAGCTGCAGACAGGGGCGTGCTGGACAGGGTTAGGAAGGGGGCCTCCGTTCACCACCTCTCCGATCAACATCGTTTTCTTTGCGAGGATGACATCTGACTTCTTCTGGGACAGAGGCAGGTCTGGTTCCTGATAGGCTATCCGGCTCAGCTCAACCACACTGTGAACAATATTTAGTGACATTTCCGTTTGCACAAAATACTACAACGCTCCTCGCTTGGGTACATAGGGTTCACAGTAATTTGACCAATCCCAGTCACTCTGCTAAGGAGGTTGTGTTTTTGGTCCTGTATGTGCCAACAGCACCATTATGTGGCCTTCTATGAAGACATTTAATCTCCAAACTACTCAATTACGAGATCCAGAACTGTCTTGTGTAGTATAGTGGGGCTATGATCAGGTACGGTTCAACTAAAAACAATTTATCATCAAATTAAGCCACTCAAAGTTTATCAGACACTCACCCATCGTTGACATTGAGGCCGTACTGCTGGATGAAGTCAGTTGCCTCTGCAGCGTTTGGGAACATTAACATCCGAACTACGTCCTCAACTGGAAACGCAGTTGACCGTGGACCCACGGTGTGGGCCATGTTCAAGCTCTTCAAGGCCTTAGCTCTGACCTGCGTGCGCACACACATTTGAAAAACATAAATGTATGCTTTTGATATGTGAAAACAGGAAAGGGACTGTTGCCTGGATTCACCTCATGCACATAAGGAAAAGAGTAACTGTGCATTTACAGTATTACACATCCAAATTCATTCCTTAATGAAGGCAACAGTTTCAACCTGATTGAAGTATCTGTGCAGGAGGCAGCTGGCGAGGTACGAGGCTCCTTTCACCAGCTTGAAGAAGCGCACAAAGTTGTTGCTGTTGACTGCAGTGAATGCTTGCACGGCAAACTTCACCTCGGGGGAATTGCGCACCTCGTCGCGGAACTGCTGCACCTCACTGCGTGGACAGGGAGTGTTAGGATGTGTTAATTTACTGTATAGCGGATGTGTGAAACGCAGTGAATGCAAACAAGCACCAAAATGAAAAGTCACAGGTGAAGATGTATAAGATGGTTTTGAAGTGTTTTTGAAGGTGCTTATAAAAATAAAACTTCACCAACACATTCGATCATTTGTGTGCATCTGTTTTAATGGACTGACCGTAGGATGTCACCGTCGTTGAGTTTTAGCAGCACGCTGTACTGACGAAACTCTGCCTCTCGGGAGCAGTAGATGTGACGCGTGGCCAGGTCCTGGTACATTTCTTTGAGACTCTGGAGGCACTTTGTCATGTTCTCGTTGTTGATCTTGGCGTCGAAAGCAGAGATATGCTCCTGGCAGAGGTGGTGAGCGCAATGCACATGGAAGCGTGTGCACTTCTCTATCAGCGACACCGTGTGCGGGCAGCACAGGTGCTGCTGGATGATGTCCTGTGGGTGAGTTAAGGAATTTAAAATCAGTCTACAAACCAAGTCTACTTGTTAAATCCCCAAATCTGCAAAATCATGACTGGACCCAGAAAGTGTGTTGAAACAACGTGTCTGCTGCTCTGATGGGAAGTATTCAGGATCAGATAGTTGCGTGCGGAAGGAGGAGTTAATAGCAAAACGGCAAAACTGGTACAACTCAGACAGCTGCAAGATTAATGTGGGTCTGGAGTTATCTGCTTTTCAGACATGGAACTTAAGAGCTTTTTCCTTAAGCGGCAATGCAAATGTCTAACAAGCTTTTTTTATTGAACATAATTTTTAAAAATCTACGTGATATTTAATGTATGCAGCCCGAATTGCAATAAATAGCTGGAAAAGTGGCCGGAGTCAATAAAGTGCCATTCACTATTCAATGCTATGGACACTGTCTTGGACCTTAAAAAGGGAAACTAGGAGACAAACAAATCTTCACACCAGATTTAAGCCTGATTACATCACAGACACCTGAAGAAGGCAGCTCTCCTGAAACAGGCTCTCTTACCCAGAGAAGCTCACAAGTCTCTGAGCAAGAGTCCAAGTCAAGTGTCAAGTCTGTGAGCTAGAGTCCAAGTCAAGTCTCAAGTCTGTGAGCTAGAGTCCAAGTCAAGTGTCAAGTCTGTGAGCTAGAGTCCAAGTCAAGTGTCAAGTCTGTGAGCTAGAGTCCAAGTCAAGTCTCAAGTCTGTGAGCTAGAGTCCAAGTCAAGTCTCAAGTCTGTGAGCTAGAGTCCAAGTCAAGTCTCAAGTCTGTGAGCTAGAGTCCAAGTCAAGTCTCAAGTCTGTGAGCTAGAGTCCAAGTCAAGTGTCAAGTCTGTGAGCTAGAGTCCAAGTCAAGTCTCAAGTCTCTGAGCTAGAGTCCAAGTCAAGTCTCAAGTCTCTGAGCTAGAGTCCAAGTCAAGTGTCAAGTCTGTGAGCTAGAGTCCGAGTCAAGTCTCAAGTCTCTGAGCTAGAGTCCAAGTCAAGTCTCTGAGCTAGAGTCCAAGTCAAGTCTCAAGTCTCTGAGCTAGAGTCCAAGTCAAGTCTCAAGTCTGTGAGCTAGAGTCCGAGTCAAGTCTCAAGTCTCTGAGCTAGAGTCCGAGTCAAGTCTCAAGTCTCTGAGCTAGAGTCCGAGTCAAGTGTCAAGTCTCTGAGCTAGAGTCCGAGTCAAGTCTCAAGTCTCTGAGCAAGAGTCCAAGTCAAGTCTCAAGTCTCTGAGCTAGAGTCCAAGTCAAGTCTCAAGTCTCTGAGCTAGAGTCCGAGTCAAGTCTCAAGTCTCTGAGCTAGAGTCCAAGTCAAGTCAAGTCTGTGAGCTAGAGTCCAAGTCAAGTCTCAAGTCTGTGAGCTAGAGTCCAAGTCAAGTCTCAAGTCTGTGAGCTAGAGTCCAAGTCAAGTGTCAAGTCTGTGAGCTAGAGTCCAAGTCAAGTCTCAAGTCTCTGAGCTAGAGTCCGAGTCAAGTCTCAAGTCTGTGAGCTAGAGTCCAAGTCAAGTCTCAAGTCTGTGAGCTAGAGTCCGAGTCAAGTCTCAAGTCTCTGAGCTAGAGTCCAAGTCTCTCGTGGTTATAATAAATGTTGTGTTCAATCCTGGCTGCTTATAAAACTGCACAGATAAGGAATTCTGTAACTGTAACCTGTTTTTCACTTACAGAGCACAACCATGTAATGTGCAATGCAATTAGTGACTGTAAATCAACACATCCCCGACTCTCAAACCCAGTGTAACGTTATAACTAAATAAAACTAATAATAGGCCATTAACCCCCACCCTTGGTCTATATTTTTTGGACACGTAAATAATCTAAATATGTGAATACTGTTAGGAGAATTCAATCATAGCCTACAGATGGGCTGCATCTCTTACCTTGCGGATGCCGCGGGTCCTGTTCCACACAAAGTCGTACCAGTCCCGGTAGTTGTCTACTACCAGGACCTGGTCCATGATCTGAGTCACCAGATAGTCCATGGTCATGCTGAGCACAGGAAGGGGGCGCAACTCGTGGGGTAGGGGCTCCTCCTGGTCGGCAGATGATCGGCTGTACTCCTTGATGGCAGCTGTGTGGTCCACCTAGTCGGAGACAGGAGGCGAGATTAATTATTTCGTCTACAGTGCCTTCTTTATTAAATATTCTTAAAGCGAAGGACAGTACAACAAGTGACGCCTGCCACAGATTAAATAAAAAAAAGTGTCTGAAAGAAATCTGAGACATGATGCAACATCTCACGGTACTGTCTCAGGTGAAGAAAGCCTACTCTCTGAATATGGAAGACAAGCATTAAGGACGTTACCATCTCAGTATCTGGGATGACCTCGAATACGCTCAGCTGCTTCCGTGTTTCCCTCATGTACCTCTCCTTCTCTGGACACATGTCAGGACACGTCCCCACAAACACCTTAGACAGAACCAGGTCCGTCCTCTTGGGCCGACCTGTGTGGACAGATTGCACACACGGTTAGAAGGTCTCTCACGTTTTTAAGCCATGTTCACGGCTGCAATAGATCGGTGTGAGAGGCGGCTCAACCTTGACGCAGGATCTTGTCCCTCTGCTCCAGGAGGCGGTACTTGTCCTCAGCGGTCTCAGCCACCTGGCCAATGAGGTGCAGGAGGGAGGAGGGGACAGGGCGCTCTGAGCTCTGGGCCTCCGCGCTGCCCTCTTTCTGGGGTTCAGTGTCAAACTGCAGAGCCTTGGCTAAAGACGACTTCTTCACCGGAGAGCTGACACATGAAAAGACACAACAGTCACGGCACTAAAGCTGTGCAGACCCGTTGGATGAAGGCATTACAACTAAAGTTACATCTAAAATGCTGTAATAACGAGAACACTTTCATGCAGGCGCGAGTGTTACCCGCGGCTGAAGGTCCCCGTGCTGCTGACTGCAGGTGCTCTGAGTGCGGGTCTTCTGAGTGGGGAGGAAGCAGCCTTGGACTCTGTGTCCTCCTGACTTTCTCCCTCTGCCTCATCCTTTCCTTCTTCAGGTCTGCTCGCTTTGTCACCTGGACCTAATGCACAAAAAATTAAAAACAACTCAGAATCAATAATATGACTCAGTGCAGGGAGTAAATGCTCCTTACATCACTTACGTCACTTTCCCAACCCAACCCAACCCCTCCTTGTGCCTCAGCTGGAAGTAATGATGACTGTGAATTGTTTTTATCTTATTTTACCAATAAGGTGGTGTCAATCAGAGCCTCTATTACCCCCGCGGCCTCTTACTCAGAGGTTCCTCACCAGCAACAACAGAGTTTTAACCAGTTTTATCCCATCGACTTGCTGAGCTTTTAAAAACAGTATCACAAATGAGAGTGTCCTCCAGCCCACTTGATGTAATACCTACAAAGTTTTTACTGAAAGTAATAGATTCTGTTGGGCCCCATTTGATCTCTGTTTTCAACAGCTCCCTATCTACTGGTTGTGTCCCTGATTATTTTAAAACGGCTTGCGTGAACCCACTTTTAAAGAAACCTGGTTTAGATCCCTCCCTCCCACATAATTTTAGACCAATTTCAAAACTGCCTTTTATTGCAAAGATTCTAGAAAGAATTGTGTCCAAACAGCTGCTCGCTGTGCTGGAAAATAACAAATTATTTGAAAAGTTTCAGTCTGGTTTTAGGAAGTACCACAGCACTGAGACTGCCCTGCTTAAAGTCACCAATGACCTTTTAATGTCTGCTGATGAAGGCATGTGCTCAGTCCTGGTACTCCTGACCTTAGCGCTGCTTTTGACACCATTGATCACAACATCATGTTAGACAGACTGAGGCACTGGGTGGGGATCTCTGGTACTGCCCTAGAATGGTTTTCATCCTACCTGTCAAATAGGAAGTTTTGCGTGTCTGTAAACAACTATGTCTCCTCGTTCTGTCCAGTTAAATATGGTGTGCCTCAGGGGTCGGTCTTAGGACCCATTTTGTTTTCCTTGTATCTGCTTCCCCTTGGACATATTATCCATAAACATGGCATTTCTTTTCATATTGCTGATGACACACAAATATACTTGCCCGTCAGATCCACAGACCCTGGAATGCTGAGTTCACTTAACAACTGCCTTTGTGAAGTTAAAAAATGGATGTCAAATAATTTCCAAAACAGATTGGTCATCGCAGATGGCAAATCAAATACTGCCATCTGCTGGTTCCTAGTAAATCACATTAAGCCTGTGCAAAGAACCTTGGTGTTTGGTTTGATAGTAATTTAAATTTCGAGCAGCACACCACAAAGCTTGTTCAATCATGTTTTTATCAACTTAGAAATATAGCAAAAATTCGATCTATGTTAACTTTTAAGGACACCGAGACCATTTTACACGCCTTCATCTCATCACGCCTGGATTATTGCAACAGCCTTTCACCTGTTTAACCCAAAAATCTATTGATCGACTCCAGACTGTCCAGAACTCAGCTGCCAGGCTTTTAACCAGAACAAAGAAATATGACCACATTACTCCTATTTTAGCTTCATTACACTGGCTCCCAGTATGTTTTAGAATTGACTTTAAAATTCTATTGATCACTTTTAAAGCTCTTCATGGCCTCTCGCCTTGTTATATTTCTGACCTTTTAGTCCCATACGCACCAGCACGTACCTTGAGATCCTCGGGCAGAGGTCTGTTGTCTGTTCCAGAGTCTCGACTGAAAACTAAAGGGGACAGAGCGTTTGCTGTCAGGGCCCCGAGGCTCTGGAACAGCCTGCCCGAGGAAATCAGGTCGGCGAGTCAGTGAACTCTTTTAAGTCCCTTCTTAAAACATACTTTTATAGGAGAGCTTTCCCGATCTTATTTGACTTTATTTTATCCCTTTTATTTTATTGTATTTTACTAATTTTATAGTAATTTTTCATGCTCTTAACTTGTTTTTTTTGTTTTATTCTTTACACTTGTTAAAGCACTTTGTAACTTGTTTTTGAAAAGTGCTCTACAAATAAGGATTATTATTATTATATTATTATTATTATTTCGCTTGAAGGCCTGTACCTCTAAACAGCAATATAAATACAGCAGAACTCTGCCTGTTGTGTGATAGCAATAATTTTTACATTCTTAGAGCGTTCATAGAAATGTGTCATATTTACTCTGCTTCTTTTTCTGCCACAGGATAAGGAGTTCATGTCGATGCAGGACTTTGCCTTTCTTCTTTGCCTTAGCCGCAGACGCCTGAAAGAGACAACAGTTGAAGTGAGAGAGCAAAATAATATCGTGATCTCACTGAAAACTACACACCGTCATCTTTGGCCGGTCTCACAAAGCAGGACTAGTGGGTTAGCTAGCTAACGTTTGGAGTTATCCCTGGGCCCAGTTGTTCAGAGGTCTGTCGGATCACCTAATCCAATCCTGGTTGTGATCTGGATCAAGCATTCAGTTTTTTTAGTAGGATTGGGATCCCTTTGATCCAAAAAAATAAAAAGAAATCAGGATTATCCTGATCCCAACAGAAGGATGGCTTCAGTAACAAAATGTCATAAAAACAATCAAATTTTCCAAATAATATAACATTTTTGTCATGTAGTAGCCTATACACATATTTATTTGTATTTTGCACTTGATTTGTTTAAACTTTATAGTGTTAAAGTACATAAAGTAGACAGTACCTATTAGCCATTCAGTACAGTAAAGTAAAAAAATAAATAATCCGCCAAACAGCTTCAATATCAAACAAAATAATGCAAAAAATGATGTCACTTATTACCGTACAGTGATTAAAAAAGGCACAATCATCAGAGGCGAAGTAGTTTGTAACAAGTTCATTCTGAGATCGCCTCCTAAAAGGCTAAAAGGTGCTCTCTGAACTCTGAATGATTTGTATTTTAATTATTAGACTATTGGACAGCACTCAACAGTGTATCTGTGAATAATGTTTATTTTCTTGTTTTTCTTGGAGGTATTGTGGGTCAGATGGTCTGACTGTTTAAAGAAATTGAAAATGAAAGGAAATGTTTGTGTTGTTTTATTGTGCTTTATCTTCAAATTAATGTTAACCCACGCTAGCTGTTCTAACGGTTGGTCTTTATATCATTAACAGCAGACGTTGTGATTTGTAGTCCCACTTAGAGAACTGGAAATATGTATATGGTAATCCTGCAAACTTTGTATCCGGATCAGGGTGATCCAATCCAATGTTGCTTTGAAAAACTGGCACAAAATTAAGAGGGGTTACGTGATCCTGGACAGCAAAGCACGGGATTTCTGGATCAGAATGATCTAGATTAAAGGGGACGGATTCAAAAAAAAGAGCTGAAGTCCAAACAACTCGTAGTAAAACCAGTGCTCCACTCTGGATATATCAAATAGGGAATATTAGTTGGCAAGCTGCCACTAGGCAAGCTGCCACTAGGAGTAACAGATCAAATTTACTGTCTTAAGTGTGCTGAAAAAACAAAGCTAGCTGAGGATCAGATCAGTAATCGGTTATCTCCCAGTTTTAGTAGCACAGAGTTAACTCACATGGTGATCGAAGTGAACTATGGCCAGGTTCTTGGCAGGCCGGCAGAAGATCTTACGAACTTTGCCGAAGCGACCAAAGTGCTTCCCGATCGTGTCCTTCTTGTTGAGGGCTGGAGGCACATTCCTGCACTGGATGGTGGTGCAGTCTGTGGGAGACATGCCGCTCAGGCTCTCCGAGCTCTCCCTGCGTACCCCGCGTTTCACTGGGGTTGTGATCTCCAGCTTCGCGTCCGGGGCTTTTGCCGCGTCTATAGAGGGACGACGGGCAATAGGCAGACAACAGGATGAACATTTTCTAATAATCCAATCCAGTGGAAACATCTCACAGTGAGCATCAACCTTGGGACAGAACCATTCTTATAGAAATGCTGTTTAAATAATGTGCTGATAGTAATCAAGTTGCTTTCAGTGCTCACTTTGGGTCTTTTCATACATGACAAAATCTGAATATTTTATGAACACATTTGTTTTCACACTCTGCTGCCAGCTGGGCGTTAATAGCCTACTGTTTATTTTCAGGCCTGTTGCAAAAAGTAGAAACACTCAGACCAGCAGCGAGCTGTGGCCTAGTTGCACTACTCCTGTTACTGTTTTTGTAAACTGCACACCAATTTGAAACAGCTGTACTGTATTTTCAAACAGTCAATAAAGTTCAGTAATTACTGAAGGTGTCCGTTTCATTACTTTATATAATGTAATAAATATGCAAACGTCAATTAGATGGTAATCTGCAAGGGAAATAAAGAAAAGGAAAAATCATCAGCTTCTAGTGATCAATTTGACCCGGACAGACGTGAACACTGTCAGAGGTTTCCACTGTAATACTTAATCAAAACCAAAAGCCTATTGTGATTTTCACCGCAGAAGTAGGGCTGGGCGTTATGTTCAAAAATGTAATTGAGATAAAAAACTTGTATCATTCGATATCAATAATTATCAAAACAATTATTATTTTTTTAAGTTTAAAGGCTTCTTTTTGCTCCTTGTCTGGTTTCTATAATTAATTGTGGCTTTAAACTTTAATAAACTTCTTTATGGTCAGAACATGACAAACACTTTCCAAACAGTGGATCACTAAACAAATGTGATGTAAAACATTCAAAGCAATAATGATTAAATCTTTTTTCTGTCCCTTTTCTCAATAAAATAAATATCTTCATAGGAAAAATTAAGTGCTAATTCGGCCGTGATTCAAATGAATTAAATCAAACATTTATTGAACATTTTCTATATTGTTATTGAAGAAAATTATATCATGATAATTATGATTATTGTTTTATTGCCCAGTCCTGAGCAGGTGTAGAGAGGAACAAAATGGATCCAAGGATATTTCAGATATGTACGTCATTCTTACCAATTACAATCAAATTCTGAGATTTCTTATCGGGTGTGGAGGACTTGCCACCACATTAATAGTGTGTCTACACGTGAAAAGATTTGGTCATTATAACAAACAAACAAACAAACAAACAAACACACTGGACAATAAAAAGTAAATGTGAGCATTTTTGATCTGGTGGCACCATCCTTCCGAGTCATTTAAGAGTGATTCTATCATGCAGAGTTGCTTTTCACAGTGCAGATAGGTTTCAGAAAGTCCTAAACACACCTTGATGCTAAACGCAGGTAATGTGGGTGTATGTATGATTCTCACCTGACTCTTCAGCTTTCTCCAGCACATCCCTGGTCAGTGCAGTGGGCGGTGTAGCCGGTAGGCTGTCACCCTGAGCTTGGGCGTTGTCCTTCTCCGTCTCCTCCCACGTCGATGCTTGCTGCTGAGTCTCCCTTGTGGCCTCTCGCCTCACTGGGTTAGTGCCATCTCTAAGAAGACTGTTCAGGGCCCTCCCGAATAAGCCTCCTGGTGGGCCACGGGACCTCATTAGGGGCCTCTTAGAGGGATGTCTTGGTGAATCTGCTTCTCCTGGAACATCCTCCTCTATGGCAGGCTTCTCTGGGCCAGTGCTGGGGCCCGCTGGATCTTCCTTGCGCTTGGTGCCTTTGCTAAATCGTGCAAATGCATTTGTGCCTCCTAGGCCCTCAACGTTGCTCCCTTTCTCGTCTGTACTAGTCTCTGCTTTAGCTTTGGTGTCACCAAAAGCTGAGGGCTGACCAAAACTGGTTCTTCCAAAAATGGATTTGGTCTGGGGCGGGGGGGCTTTGGTTGAAAAACTGAAAGATGACGGGGTGGTGGGCTGGGTGGTGGATGCATTAGTACTAGAGCTGGAGGGGGCGGCTGGCTGGGAAAAGGTGAACTGCAGAGTGTTGGAAGGACTGCTGCTACTGCCAGTTGTTAGCGGATTGTTCTGGGAAGAAATAGAGGCGGCTGCTGCCGGCTGTGAGAAGCTGAAGCCCAGCGACTTACCCCCAGTCAGTAAAGAGAAGCCAGTGGTGGTGGTGGTGGTGGTGTTGCTACTCATGGTGCTGAAGCCTGTCTGGGACCCACTGCTGCCAAAAGGTGAGCTGGACATTGAAGTAGTTTGAGGGTTAGCGGGCTCAGGGCTGGCACTGAAGATGGGTTTGAACAGTGCCTCATTGGCCGGCTTGAAACTGAACTTGGATGTTCCAAAGCCCCTGCTCTGGGTCACACTCTGAGCTGTGCCAAATACACTGGTGGTGACACTGGTAGATGCTGGCTGTCCAAACACAGACGGTCCAAAACCCAGTGGCTGAGGTTGCCCTAAGGCAGCGGTGGAGCCAGAAGTCATCTGGGAGTTTCCAAACCCAGTAGGCTGTTGGCCAAACGCTGGTGGCTGTTCGCCAAATCCTGGGGCCTGCTGGCCGAATCCCGGGGCCTGTCCAAATGCCGAAGGCTGTCCGAATGCAGGCGTCTGCCCAAAGACTGAACTCTGGTTTGACCCACTAGTCTGTCCAAAAGCTGGTGCGGTGCTACTACCAAAGCCTGAGCTACTCATTCCTATTGAGGTCTGTCCAAATGCTGGAGCCTGGCTTATTGTAGGTAACGAGGGGGCCTGTGTAGAGGACTGTCCAAAGGCAGGGGCCTGTCCAAAGATGGTGTTCCCATGAGGTGGGGGCTGATTCAGGACAGACGGCTGTCCGAAGGCTGATGGTTGATAAAACCCCATAGTGTGGGGTTGATTGCTAGAACTTTGCTGTCCAAATGGCTGGAACAAACCAGTGTTCAGAGTGTTGCTCGGGGCTTGGAAGGCTCCACCTTGTGAACTACCAAACGGATTGGATGGATTCATGGCGCAAAAGTTAGCGGATGTTCAGTCAGTTCTCCTGATTGTTTATTTGCTGAAGGAAATGTTTCTCACGCAGGCATTCAAGCAGCAGAAAGATGCAATACTGTGCCGACCTCTCAGGTTGTTCCAAGTTGACTCGCTGTGGCGTTAAAAGCCAAAAGAACATTATGAAAAACGCACGATGACTCGGCCGCTAGCATTTAAGCTAACACCACAAACACTGTCAAAGTTAGCTTAGCAAAGTTTATTTCATTGCCGTTTGAGGTTTTACACGGACAAAACAGAAACCTCTCCAGCAATACTTCTTAATTATGCAACTTTAATATAAAAAAATCCTCACCTTTCACAGCTTGTTTGCGATGTTGACTTTTTTTTTTGGTTCAGTTCAAAACATATTCTCCCACATCCGGTTCCGGTCCGACAAATCTATCGGTCCCCCCGGTCATTGCTAACGCGACTGCCAACGTTTCACTGCGCGAGTAGGCAAAGCCGCCACTTACAGAGAATATGTTTAACTTATCCTAACTCTACTGTCATGTCGACACAATCCAGAGAAAGCTTACATAGTCGGTTTCGGGGATCTCCATGTCGAACTACAGGACGCGGTGTCACCTTGAACACCGCTCGCCGCACACTTACCGCTGCCGCCACCGGTTCATCGCGGCAGGAGGCGGCTTGGTTTTAAAGTTCACCTATGTCTTCTCAAGATTGTCTTGAAATAGTCGTCTCGCTGGGGTTTTTTTTTTACGCCGGATTTCAGAATGGGAGTAGTACTGCGGAATCTCCAAAAGGTGGTGCCTCTTCGCCGCGCGAGGCTGCGCAAGGACGTGGACACACTGAGGCACATACTGGGAGTGCAGAAATTCGACCTGGGCATCATTTGCGTGGATAACCGCAGGATTCAGCAAATTAATAACGTATATAGAAAGAAAAACGTGCCTACGGATGTGCTCTCATTTCCATTCTACGAGGTAAATATGACTAAATGCCAACATAATGGAAGCGACGTAAAATCAGGATGGGGTTTATTGCCGGGTACCATAGGTGTCATTCACACTGGGGACGCAGGGGACATGTCCCCACCACTTTTTTAAAGCATAATTTATAATAAACCTTCTGAAATGTGGCTTGCAGTTAAATAACAAACAAATGCCTTTAGAAAATTTTATTTGCACATCAAGAAAACATGCAATGTAATTAAAATATAGAAGAAACAAATGTGCACTGTCAGAAAAAAAGCTACTGATTTATGAAATTACCCCAATACGTGCAGCACCAATTAGTAACTTTAACAACTTCTTGACACAGTTTCTTTTTGGCCAAGTTTTCTGTTCTCTCCCTGTGAACGTGACAAAAGAGGAGGGAAGAATAATTAAGGCCTGCATGTGTTGCCTCAGCAGGGATGATATTACAGGAGAAAAGCAGATCTACAGCAGAAACAGATCTGAAAGCAGCACAGAATGACTGAGAGCTGCACTGACTTAGATTCTGTTTTATTTACATACATTTTGAAATGTAATGTGCAACCTGAATTTTGCATTTCCTTTTACATAAATAAAAACATTTCCACCATAAATTGGTGCAGAAACTCTCACCAGAATGCAGGAAATTAAGTCTTAAATGATCAAAAATTCCTGCGCCTATATCTCAGCATTTAGGAAATCTTTAAAACAATGTTTTAAAGGATCTTTTCGTCTCATGCTCATGAACCTTATATGGCGTATTGTGATGTTTCCTGAGTTAAGTGTCTCTAATCTGAGCCCTTATGTCCCGACCACTTTTCAACACAAAGTGACAAGTGAGTTTTCACATACGAGGAATTTGCCTTGGTATATTGGTGCTTTAGAACATACATATAGAAATATAGATCAAGTAAAGAGATCAAAAATGTAGTTATACAAAAATAATACTAATGGGGAAAAAAGCAATGTGCAAAATTTAACAGTAAGCATAAAATAAATATTAGTGCAATGGACACAGATCAAGTAGAGCATTGTTGTGTTCAGGGGTGTGTGTGTTTTTTTTGGGGGGGGTAAGTGTCAGTGGGGGTCTCAGAGTCCTGGAGGAGTTCTTCGTCACCAGGGTTGAGGAAGAACTCTGTATTTAATGATTAGGTTTGGACCTTTTTCAAATAATCACAGTTAAAAAAGGTAATTTTGTGGTTTTAGGACCTGAGACCTGGAACGCTGCCCTGCCCCCTTCACAGAGATGAGCTGAACCTTGGGGACATTTTCTTGGGGGTCGAGTTTCTGATGAAGCAGTGTCAGGAAGAATCCCTAGATCTGCACGGAGCCCTCACCGTGAGTAGCTGCAGCACTGCACACCGTGATTGCAAGCCTTAGTCGTGGCCCCTCAGAAATGCAACCTGTTGTTTATTTGTTTCTCACATTCAGCTGTGTTCACTGTCAAGCGTTCAGATTTGCAGTGACATTTTCTTTCACGGTGCATAGTTGTTGTTGCTTTGACATCAGCTGGCTTTTATTGTTCCTCTTTTGCTTCATATTATAGGTTGTCACTGCACATGGTATCTGCCACCTGCTGGGCTACAGACACGAGACAGAGGAAGAATGGACTGAGGTTTGGAATCTTAATGTGAAAAACAAACTTCATCCAAATTACAAAGTGACGTTTCCTCACTTAGCTTCCACTGGTATGTGGACACGTGGATAGTTTTGCTTTTATGGACTCCACATTTATTTGTATGTGCCTCCTCCACCCCAACACAACTGAGGTGAACGGAAATCTCAATCAACGAATGTTTTTCCAGCAACACTTCCACGCCACTGTCAGCCCTTTTTTTAACAGCCTCTCTCTTCGGTATTGCAATCAGTAAAATGTGTTCATAGCAGAACGGCAAACTCTGCTCACACCGTTGTTTTAGATCTGTTTGACTTGATGGCTTGTTTCTATGAAATGGTTGAATTACATTGTACTCTGAATCTGAATGTGCTGTATTCTCACTGTAAAGAACCATAGGGTGTTTCAAAATGTACTGTTTTTGTTTGTTTCCAGATGCTGCAGAGGGAAAGCTACATACTGAGTGAGTACAACAGACTCACAGGGAGACATCTGGAGCCACTGACGAAGCGATGCAGTCAGGATAGGTGACGGTCACCTGCTCACTACGTGTACTATGGTGCTTCATATTGTTGTTCAGTCCTGTTATCAGGTGGGACTACTGTTTTGTTCACTTTCATGCCCTCCTTCCTAACCAAACGTAAAGGACACGGTCTCACAAGGTGGGGCAACGGGACTTTAATCACCTGGCAGTACCCTTTTTCAAACATCAAATTCAAAGTCTGTGCACTTTCACTGGAATATTTTATTAAAATCTGCTTTAGGAAGAGTCATTTGTGTATGAAGGGTAGAAAAAGCTGTTCATTTTTACTTCACAAATACATCATACCCTCTTTACACTGCATTAGGGACAGGATGTTCAGGAGAGCGCAACGTTTCAGAAATGGAAATCCAAGGCGAACATAAAAAAGGAGAACCGATCTGTCATAATTGGGTGTCTGTTCATAGTGCAACAATACTGTACTTCCAGGAGTCAGCTGATAATAATGCACACTTCCTAAAAACAACTATAAAGATATTCAGTCCATACTGCTCCTTTATTACCCATGTCTTATAATACTATACTGTAATAGATTTTCTTCTATTGTGTGGGGAAAACCTTTAGTGTGGTCTGAATAGACCAGCAAGCACCATGTTTCAATGCTTTCAATTCATGGTGCACTGAAAAGGGGTTTAAATGTTTACAGTGATAACAAACAAACAAACAAAAAAGAGCTGTACAACCAGTGTTTAGTATTGGAACCAGAACACGAATAACAGTTTGCTCCACTCTATAATCAAACATGCCTGATAGGAAGTTGTTTACCAGGGTTAGCAGAGCTCTAAAGTGTTAAGTACTGTATACTGGCCTTAAGGATGACAAAATAAAAGACATTACGCTATAGCTAGCTTTCCTGGTGGTCTAGTATTAATGACTTCTATTTGGGCTAATTAAGATAAATCACCCCTATGCGGCAATAAATAGAAAATCTTGGCTTTTTATAAAGGAAAATCTGACTTACACATTGACAAACATTCAAAGACAAGGTTGTGCAACGTTCAAAGTAAAGCTTGTATACATATTTATAAAAGTTTTCTTGGGAGGCACAAGGTCAAAACCCCAAAATAATAAAGTGGGCTCTACTGAGAAAAGCTCAGTAAAACAGGCTTAGTTAGTCAACTTACTGGTTAAAAAAAAAAAATAACTGTAATAAGGAGACAGCCACACACACAAATTAGTTCATAAGTCAAGCACAAAAAGCAACTGGGCAAACATCCACACACATTGTGACAGAAAGCTGATTTGAATTGACCAGTTTGAGCCAGAACACAAATATTGCACCAAAAGTACCCGCTAAATACAACAACCCTCTACCTCTATAATAGCTTATACTCCAACATAGAATATATCTTTATTTAGTTCATATGGGAAATAAAGGGTCTGCAAAACATACAATCCACGAAGCGCCAGCAGCATCTGGTGTTCGATAGTTGCTTTTAAGTGGAAGTCTGAAGTTTTTAGATTTTAAACAAGTGTATGAAGAAAACAAAAGGAAAAAAAAAACCTTTACAAAACAGTTGTTTGATAAAATCATAGCAAAGAAAAACTCCAGCCCCAAAAACAAGGGAGGCAAAATTTGATCCACTGAACATTTGTATCTGCATTTCTGCTATCTTAAAGAGTCTAGACAGTTGAGCGCCTGTGTCGGCATTTAGTGATTTGTCGAGGAAAAGAAGTGCCTGAAGACGACCAAAAAAAAAGGACGGCAATCAGTAGTACTCAACGTTGAATGTTCAGAGGAGAGCTCAATCTACCAGGGTTCAGCTGTGGATGTGTGTTTGTCAGCGGCTGAGCAAAGCTGTAGCGCTCAGAGGGGCTGCAGGATGTTCCTTCCTGCCTCTGAAGTGGCGCTCGCTCCAGATCTCTCCATTTCAGACAGCTGCTCAAACACATCCCTGCGGAAACACAAGACAACGTGTCGGCCAACTCGCTCACGTAATGTCCTCTGGCGGGAACACACAAATACTGCTAAACGTAATCCAGTATGCTGTGTTTGGTGCGGTGACTCACTGAAATTGCAAAATATTTTTGCATTGCATAAATATTCACCTTTATCCTTTTATAGGAATCACAATTTATCCAACACGAAAGCAAATGCGGCCTCGGCAAAAACAATTAAAATAAAAATCCCTGCCACATTGGGTCAAGGAGGCTGGTCAGGATCCAGCAGTTTCATTGTGGCCATAAATGTTGCTACACTCACTTGTGCATGTAGAAGAAGATGTATCCACTGCGGTCACGGTCCCGCTGGACCGCCGCTTCCTGTGTGCGTGACACGTCCAGGTCATTGTAGGTCAGCCACGACTGCTTCTTCATGTCGTACACGTCGCTGATGTAATGGCCTAGTGTGGAAAAGATAATAATGAATGTGAGGACAGGCAGTGATGTGCCATTTATACTTCTGCGTCAAATCAACGGCGTAGGCTACGGGGCTACGCCGTCACCTGACGCGCACCTCTCAAAAATGTAACTACACGTCAAGGCGACGCGGACTGTAAGCATTGTGATTGGTCTGCTGGGTAACCTCGCAACGCCTCGGAGCCGACAGGAAGTGACCGTGCTTTGTAGTAACTTTTACTAGTGGCCAAAACTGACAGTGGATCGATATATTTGACCGTCACAACCCGAGCGAAATCAGAATGTGATCCACTCGGTCGATAACATTTGAAAAGGCTTCACCAGCTGCGCGTATACAATTTTACCCCCATTCACGTTAGCGGAGCTCTAAACCGGAAGTTAGCCTGCTCGCCTGGCAAAAGTCAAGACAGTGGACGCTGTAGCGCTACCGCCGACTAGCGTCTGGGGGTGTAATTGCAGAATGACAGATGTATAGATGGCTGGCTACGTGCGTAGCCCCTAAGCAGGAGTATAAATCAAGCGTTGTCATTACAACCTAAGACAATACCAGGCGATTTCACTGGCCTGCTAAATGTTGTGCAGAGTGGAGGCAGCAGGTATGAATCTATTGGCTCATCAAACAACTTGTAGTAAACTGTGACTATTTAAATGACTATAAGTGTAAATATCATGTCAGTGTATTTCTCTCGCCGCTGCGCTCCTCCAACAAACACCATCTGGCTCTGCCGCCCTTCACACAAAGCAATCTCAGTCCCTGTTGTCATCTGTGACGCCACGATGGTAGAACGCGCTGCCGCACGCCATCAGAGCGGGGGCGCCCCTCTCTGACTTCAAGAAAAGAAGTCATCTCTTCACCAGAACACTTCCTCTTATAAAGACCTAACATGCACGTCCCTGTGCTCTTCTTACAATTCTCTTGTATTGATTCACTATTCGTGAACTCTGTTCAGGTAGTTTTTATTGCCACGGTTACCAGTGTCTATTGTCACTTGTAGATCTCCCACTTTGAGGCTTTTGTGTGAGTTGCGATAGCCTATCAGCGTTGATTTTCCAGACGTCACCGAGGGTTTCAAAGCGTTGTTTGGAGAGCACCAGGCAGAGCGAGGGATTGAAATGCCGCTAGCCGACGGAGGGCTGCTAAACTCAGGGGAGAAGTTGAGGACAGCGCATTGGGACAAATAAACCCCCGTAGTCGGTCTGGATTCTGCTCTGACAACTACGCCGTTTACTCGCGGGAGGAGCTCAGAGTAAACTGCTTTTATTAAATCAGCTTTATTCCAGCTGCTGTTGTACTTTACTGTGAACAGGTTAGCATAGCCCTGATTCAGTCAATTCATATGTTTAACAAATCTGCATCATGTTTTAGTTATTTCGGCATCAGTTTGATCCTTTTATTGCAATTAAATCACAGCAACATGTTTACTTTATGTTCATACAGCTGTAGTATCCGTGGGTTGTGTTTATTTGCGTTATAGCGTTGGGTGTGAACACTTGGCAGTTAGTCCAGCGATAAAACCCCCGCAAGGATTAAATTCACGTTTGGTCTGAATCCACAGTAACACAGCACTTAAATCCTGGCACTCTCCTGGTCGGGCTTTACACGCCAACATTCAGTCTGACACCTCTAATGGCTTTGACGTGCTGTTTTGCAGAAGGGCATTAAGTTGCATAAATGTTGATACAGGATTTATCTACACTACGAACGGAGACACAAATACACACACAGGTGCTCACCAGAGGAGGAGCTGCTCCCAATGTGACTGACGACACTGATGAGTCTGAAAGAGTTGGCCAAGTCTCCGCTCTGTGGATCACAACGTTTATTAGCAGGTTCTGATGAATCAAAGTGGTTCATGAGAAATGTTAAGCCGGACTGCTTCTTTTGTACAATGAGGATTTTCACTTCAGTGTGTTTTGTAGTACTTAATAGTTGCTTTTTAGTTTATTGTGAACTCTTTTTACTCATGAGTTAGACTGCTCTACTATTTGTTCAAAATTACAAGGCAGACATCTGGCAGCAGGATGTCAAGTACCTCAGCGTTCCTCTTCAGGTTCTCAGCCTCTGCTTCAGTGTACTCCATGTCCAGCACATCCTCGTTGCCAGAATCATCATCTGAGCACAGCAGCTCAGGCAGAGAGTTGTTAAACTCTGTTGGGTGAAAAGGTGAAGTATTGATACAGGTTCAGCATTTTTCACAGCACAGTGAGTCTGATTGAACAGCGTCATCATGTGATGTTGAGAAGCAAGTGATGCTGAGTTTCACTTTGCCGTGATGTGGTCAGCCTGGGGTCTTTTGTTTGTGTGAATAAAAGGAGATACTCGCACATCCAGCTGCCTCAGGTGCTGGTGTGTGTTGGAAAGGGTCTAGAGAAACAAACACTCTTACACTCTGCTCTTGCTCGGCATCACAATAGACTTTGTGACACGTTGTCTCACTTGTTCCTGTTTCTTTTCTTCTTCTTATATGTGGAATATAATGGAACAGGTTTTACACATGTTGTTGTCAATTACTGAGAGACACTCCCACAGGAGAATAACTATCCCACACCTGTGCACACAGAATGGACAGATCATCTATTTAAGTTGTGTTGTAAGAATTGTTTAAAACACTTTTGAAGAAGCTGCTCAAAATCTTTAAAGTATCGAGTAGAAACCAGACAAACCAGAACTTCAGTTGACACTTTTTGTAACCATATTGTGGCAAAAAATGGCTTTTGTATGGTTTTATTTGCAGCCAAACACACAATCAACACACCGAAATAGAGAAGAACATGTCTTTTTCCCTTGTCCCTGTATAAAAAAGGCGGCACGCGCTCAGTTTGCGCTGATTTTATTTTTTCACCTTCGGCTGCGTCTCAGACGCGTTCGTCACTGTTGCCAGTTTCTCACCCCAAGCTTGGCTTTCAGTTGGTTTCATGTTCTGGTGTCATTTAACACTTCTCTGGACATTTTTATTTGCTGTTCACATCACTTGTCACTGATCAATCAGCTGCTTCAGGTGTAGTCGGTTTGATGGGCTGGACGTGCAGCCTCTCTTTACTCCGTGAGTTTAAACAAACTCCTTACTCGTTTTATACCCGTGACTGTCGTTTTTGGAGGTTTGTGACTCACTCTCTTTCAATTCAGTTTATTGATCACAACTTATTTGGTCACTAAACTATTTCTCTCCTCCTCTCTCATTCAAATATAAAATACTCCCAAGCTGTAGTCTTTCCCTGTATAATCTTACCCGTGAGGAGAACTAATTAGGATGAGGAGCGATACAGTTTCCCCAATACTTTTATGTAACAGTTATTTGTCACAAGAAAAAAATAAAAAAGATAACCTTGCTTGTCGATAAAAACAATAAAAATAATAATAGGCTACCAAATCAAGCATTTTATGCAAGGTATAGAATGAAGTACTTTCCTGGTATCTGTATGACTTTAAGGGTGCTGGTTTTGGTACTGGTATCGTAAAATATTGAATGATACCCAACCCTAGTCCAGAGGGACAGAAACGTTAGTAGGATGAATATATTGTGACGCTGAGCAAGAGCAGAGTGAGAGACCTTCATTTCTCAAGGCTTTATGAAAAAGAAACGCCAAAGTGAAATAAGAAACTACTTTAGCGCGCACACACACACACACACACACACACACACTCTAAGTACTTGGTTCACCAAAGATGCTCAGTGATTTTGAGTGATGATCAGGACTCACGAATTTCAACAGCCAGCTACTTAACATTCAGTTCATCTTGCTTCATACCTTGCAAACTGAGCTCAGTGGCCCTCTTCAGATCATCATCCTCTCTCATCTCTTGGGCCTCCTGTACGGGGAGAGGTGGAGACAACGCATTACATTATTGAGATTTAGCATAAGATATTTCAGCATTGCATTTTCACTTAGGTCACGTCTGCTTGCTCATTAACTGCATGCTTCAGTGAGATCAATGATATTTAGACTACTGTAATGTAACACCAGCTCGGACTCAACACTCGTCATTAAAGGATATTTTCAGCGTTTTTAAACTCGGGGCCCCATTTTCACATATTTTGGTGTCAAAATGACTCGTAGGTACAAAAAGGTGGCCAGGGGCCGGGGCCAGTGAAAAGTAACGTCGGGACAGTTGAACTAGCAATGAAAACATTAGCATTTAAAAAAAATAAATCAGAAACTCAACATCCTGCAGTTGTTTTGGAGCTCATGGAGCGCACCGTTGTCAGATCTGTAGTTACGTGACGAGCGGTTGTCCAATGTTATTTCTCTAATCTCAATCAAGCGGCAACGTCTGGGTCTGAAAGTGAAACCTTGCAGACGGAACCCAAACCTGCATTCTCTCCACCGGCCAGCAGGGGGCGAGTCTGCTGGTTGCAAAAAGAAGTCCGGTACCATTAGAAATAATGTTAAAGTGTTTCTACTTGTCAGCTGATTTATTCCCTCAGTAAACACTTTCCTGATGAGTTTATGGTCTCAGTCGCTAGTTTCAAGTCTTCTTCAACACAGCATGATGTTCATTTAGTAAATTATGGTCCCGTTTAGAGGGGAAATAGACGATAATGCAGCTTATGCTTTTGGGCGGGACTACCTTGTGATTGACAGGTTGCTACCATGGCGACCTGTATCCGCTGCTCTGTGTTCACCTTTTTATTTTTTTTATAATTTTAACTGTGATTACATTTGAGTGTTTTTATATCCAGGATGTATTTAAAAAACGCTTAAACATGTTAACAGTATAACATAACTTATAAGTCTTTGGTTTTGTTGTAATACAATGTAATTTTGGGAGGGAGGGACAGTAAAAATTGTCTTGGGGCCAGTAAGTTTCAAACCAACTGACCCGGTGGAGCCGGGAGCTGCAAAAAAGTTTAACGTTGAGCCCTGGACTGTTCGAGGTGTCTGACAACATCACGGAAAGGATCCCTGTGTGTCGCTGCAGGAAGACGACGGTGGAAATAAGGAAGAGGAGTTTGTTGTGTACATAGAGGAACTGCTAGCACAACAAACTCCTCTCTCCAACTCTGCCTGTGCAAACGAGTGTACAGCAGGTTTCACATGGCAGCTGAGCTTACATGCTCCTGGAGGCTCTGGGCCAGCGCCTGCTGCAGCTCCTGTTCTTCCCTCTCCTGATCCAGACTGTACTGCTGGACCCAGTCCAGTTCCCCCTGCTGCTGCACACCTTCTGGAGTCTGGTTCTCCTTGTTCTCATCCATTGTCAAGTCCAGTGAATCCAGCACATCTACACCAGATCAACAGACACACAAGCCTGTTCACTTAATACTTAATGACAATGTTACCTGAGTGTTTGTGTAAATGCAGAAAGCCACACTGATTCCAAGCAGCGTGTGCAAGCAAGACAACCGACCGATGCAGAGCGTCAATATATTTCATTATGCTTAGACTAAAGTAAAAATTGATTGCCCCCTGTAGAAAACTCATCTACTGAATGTCTTCACCTCATGAAGTTGGACTACCTGCAGGCTGTTTGATGTCTGTCTCCAGCAGATCAGTATGATAGGCCAGGTCATGGGCATCTGTGTCCCCAAAGCCTGTGTCAGGGCTGCTGGTTGGCTCATCCTCCAGGGAGGGTGGAGCTGACAGCCCGGCCTCTTGACGACTCATCTCCAGGACGGCTGCCAGCATTTCCTCATCATTTATGCCACTGAAGTCTGCTGAATCTATTGCTGCTCCCCGCTAAAAAACACACATGTAAAACAGCATGAAAAAAAACAGCAACAGGGACAAAAAGGCTGAATCATAATCGTTAGGGTCTGTAGCAAACGCTCACCTCTTCCGGTCGGTCATCATCGTCAGGCAGACAGCTGCTAAGGCGTCGCTTGCGGCTCGCGCTCACCTTTCTGGTAGTTTCTTCTTCACAGTCAGAGTCCAAGAGGATAGAGGTGCAGCTAGAGCTGGCCACTTTCCCTCCAATCCTTCTGCATGCACAGTGATTACATTTATAAGCAAACAGTGAAAAACCTAGCTGCAGCACACTTAGAGAAGAAAATCTAAGACCCCCTGTCATTAAAAAGCGTCTTGTTTCCAGATAGATATTATTTTAACCTGATAACATTTACACCTGGTTTTAATGTGCGTCTCCAGTGTCCACATTGAGATGCTCAAACAACTGAACGTCACATCTTCCCCTCGTTCATGTTAGGTCGAAAAAAAAAAAAATATGTTATTAAAAATATATATATAATAATTTTCTGAACCGTCTCTAAGCCGGCTTTCCACCGTGGATTATACACCCATGTTTTCCTCCATCACGCCGATGTAACAGCTCAGCATAATTTCCTTGTGCTGCCTTTCTGTGACAATAAATCGATACGGCAATATATCGTTGTACATTTTTCCATGAGGCTGTATCAATATTCCAGCCCATCATATCCATACATAATAATATATAATAAAAAAATAGTGCTTTGACGGTTAGCTCAATGCTAACATATAATAGGAATCTCCATTAACATGCTAACGAACATTAGCATCGCAATTGCGAAAATACAATCTTAACATAAACTACACATTTTGCTTCACATGCTGAACATCCTGAGTGACACACTGTGCAAATACTTAAAGTACATGTTTCCTGAGCTCTGTGTGAAATAAAAAAAAAAAAAGAGCTGCTAACTTCACTGTCTTGATCTGCTGCTTCTGCACTCCAAACAGACCAGCTACAGCAACCCCAGAGGGTCAAAACTCAAACCCAAAATTCCCAGTGGCCTAAAAATACAGCTATCAGCAGGAAGAGAAAGGGCAGCACAACGCTGTGTCACCGAACAGTTATTAATATAATGTGATTAGACTTTATTCGCAGTAAAACATTCAGTGAATTTGCATTTTATGGACAAATGTTTTGACAATAATTTTTCATAGCTGCTCTGTAGTTTTATTTACAGACGGAGAAGAATTGTGCTGTTTTCTAACAGTTTGGATTTGCAGCAAATAAATAGTAAACTTCTTCATGGGCATTTTGTGTTAATAGTTCGATATTGTGATGTGTCACTTAAAGGATTGTCAAGCGATACATTGATTATCGCAGAATTGCTGTATCGTATCGTTATCGTGAGCCATATATCGTATCGTGAGGTACCCTGCGATTTCCACCCCAAATGTTCAGAAACGGATACATTCAGTTCACCAAAAAACACGAGCATGTTAAATGAATAGCGCTCTGTATGGACACAATGCTTATTTGCGCCATCAAAGTTTAGATTATATTCTGCCCACATCATTGTTGCGTGTGGATTGACGATGCTTTTGCAATTACACTTGTGTACAGTGGTGACAATGCGTCCCTGACCACCTCCAGAGCTGGTTAGGCTGATTGGATCACAAGCCATCCTCAGTGGGTGCATTTACACCTGAACTTTCATGTGATCCGATCACCCAAAACACATTTTAATCCCAAGGTGGAAGAAAGGTGGCTCAAGTAAAGGTAACACTTCATTCTTTTTCTGTTTATTTGAAAGTGTTGCAGAAGTAGCAGTACTTACCGGAGAGGTGCTGTGGAGGAGTTGACCAACTGTGACGTTTTGAGAGTTCTGGACCTTTGAGAACAACAAAGCTTAATTATTTATCTCAACTCTCAGCTGAAGGAGCCAAATCTAATGCATCCAGGTCAACTGCAAAACCCGGCTGAATGACTCGTACCTCAGGATGTATTTACCCACAGTGTGAAATTTCTACAAGCTATTCTTTATAGAGGGTGTTTAAAATGTCTTACATTGAGGCTTGGGAACTCCAGCCGAGACTAATAGGGGGTCGTGTGGATTCAGTGCAGTGGGACAGCAGGGTCAAGTACCGGGGAATCACCACCTGCTGGCCCAGCTTGCTGTTCAAAGACAGCTGAGCGTTAAAGCTGTACCGTTTCAGGTGTAGGATGAGCACTCTGTGGGGAGAAAAGATCCATCAGAAATCAAAAAGTAATTGGTCTCTGTTTATCAAGTGTCTAGGAACCTATTTTTACCACCAGGATGCAGAAAACACGAACAGAATCGCAGAATTTCAAACGCGAACTGTAAACAGAGGAATATCATGGAATCTGCCAAAATGTGGATGCAATTTATAGAAATCAGGGATTTCCTTGCATTGTTTAAAAAATATTCCCACAGCACTGTTTTGCTGTCATTTACGGGTGCTGCTTCTGTCCTCTGCTCTTTGTGTCAGTGCAACCACATCAGCAGCTGCAAGACACAAGACGCACCTCCGTCAGACCCACTATCAAGTAATAACCTACTGAATAGGGGACAATTCACAACAGGCTTACATGTATTGCAGAAATACATTTATTGTTGTCCCCTATTAAAAAGTATTTTAACATCCTACTGTTGCAATACATATGTTGTGAATTGTTCCCATAACAGGGCCTTGATTGTCTTATATTTGATGCTAACGGGGAAGACTGGATGTGATTCTAGCTGTAGCTGAGCAGCTAAGCGTTTGTTTGAAATGAAGTGTGCTTCTGCTGAAGTGTGCTTCTGCTCAACTCTGAATTCAACTTCTAGTATTTGGCAATGAGCGTGATAACTTCTCACGGTGCATGTGTATTTCCCTCTCAGTCGTCTCTGTGTAGATACCTGGGCAGTTTGCTGAATTTATGCATAACAGTCGCTGTCTTCCCGTTGCACTTTTCACACGAATACTCAATTTCCTCCATCTGCAAAAGGGAAAAAGTAGCACCTATCACTGCATATTCAAGCGTTATTTTGTAGGGATGGGTTATTTGCAAAAGGAATATTAACAAATGTGGTCCAAGATCAATCTTTCATTCTTTGACCTGTTTATGCAAAAGACTCACCCTAAAAAAGAGATCCAGAGAATCCTGCATAGAGCGAAGTGGGAGGGTTTTCTTTCTGCGTGGTAGGTCGATGGACAAGTCATTGAACTGCTCTCGCTTAGTCACCACCTCGCCACAGCTGCAAAACAAAATGAATGTACAACACAACATTCATTTTCTCCAGAGCCACTAACAAATTTTGGATCGCCTGGGTAAATTTAGATGATCACGCAGGAGACAGGCCTCACCCTTTGCAGGTGATGGTGTGCTGCACCTCAAATTCCATGTTGACAGCCACAGGACAGGTGTAGACGCGGGAGGTGTCCACCTCTTCACCAGGCTCTGCTTTGGGTGCTGATGACGTTGCCTCCTGGCCATTCTCACACACCACAGAGGACGACGAGGATGCCGCAGCTTCATTCGTCCAGCTCTTGTTAATTTTCTCCACATCGTCCTTTAACTGGTCCAAACACTGGCTCAGGAACTCATGAGCATCCTGGTAAACATATGCAACTTCATTTATTTTTTCCATGCACCATTAGACAACAACGGCTCCAACTGTTGATTCTAGAGGCAGATCTTACATTTTGCATGTTTCCAGAGAAACGCTCAGCTGTGGAGGAAATGGCACTCTTCACTTTCCTCAAGAGGTCCTTTTTTGTTTCTGGACAGCCCACGTCCTTCTTGACCATAAGGTGAGCAAAACGCCTGCAGTCAAAGAAGACATCAAAACAGACTAAAGTAAACATTTATCTTTGTAACTTTTCAACAAGTATCCCCTAAACTGCAGCAAGACTTTTAAGCAGGTTTTGATGGGTGGGGAAAAAAAGGGGGTCACAAACAAAACACATGAGCAAATCATTGTGGAGGCATCATGAATCAAGCAGATTGAAGGGAGACTGAACTTAATGTAGTACCTGAGCAATGCATTGATGGGCACTTTCTTCCATGGGATGCTCTGCCTCAGCATGTCATTAGAGAAGGAGGGGAGGCTGAAGAGGGACTGCAGGATGGCATTCATGTAGCAAGTGTTGCCCAGGTTGGAGAATCTACAATATATGAATCAAAGGATTTACACAATGGATGCCTCAGATTTCCAGGACTTACAGAAAAAATGGCTTTCACGTTATTACAAATGTTTATGTTGTAATTATAAAAGCAAAACTGACTCTGACTCTGCAATCCAATCTGGGACTGGGCAATATGGCTCATACACGATAAAGATATTTTTAGGCTGTGTCACAATATATATCCTGATACACACATTTTGTCTAAAATAACATATTGTACATACTCAAATACTTCAAACACAACGATCTTGTAGAATATGATGCATTGCTTTAGAATAAACTACCCAACATTATATAAAGTAGTTAAAATGAGCTCATCCACAAACATCCAGAGCAGTGAAATGCAATATACACATTAATGCAGCAGTAATATTATATAAAAATATATAATAGTAAAACGCTGACAGGGACCATTTTACTGCATAATGACTACTTTAAGTAAATTTTGCTATAATAATACTTTAGAATGCAGAACCTTTACTTATAGTGGAGTACTGTCAACGTAAGGTCGGTATTAGTACTTTTGCTTAAGTTTTGGACCTCAACACTTCTTCCACCTCTCAGTCTATCTGCACCTGTGTGTTACCGGCCTAGCCTTCCCCTGTAAGGAAGGTGGTTTTGTGAGTAACCTGTGCGTGACGGAGTCTGCGGGTTTGTTGTGAAAGTGAATCTTCCCCGGTGTGTGGAGAGTAGTTCCGTTGCTTTAGTCAACCATTAAGTGTATAGATGAGCTCAGGTTGCAGTATAATTGTAACTGAAAGGCTGTGTGTTGTGTTCACTGCCACAGAAAACAAATAAAAAGTCCCGGTTTATGCAACGTTACTACGGTGTCTTCTACTCTTCATAGAGTTGGTGCAGACTGTGAAAACCTAGCTTAGTCAGCAGTTATGAGTCAGGCTAAAGTCAATTAAAACCAGATACGTTTCGGAGCTGGAAGCCACGGTAGTATTTAGACTGATCAGATGATTAATTGCATTTTCTATTGGGATTTCTATTGGGAGTCAACTACATGTCAGCAGCGACCAGCAGAAACACTGAAAATTTGAATGGCAATATGGTTCATCTGCTATATCACACATTTATAAACATTTGTATTATGGCCCAGCCTTATACACTGACTGTGTATGTTTACATTTAGGTCCCGTCCACACTACTGCGTTTTCAAATTAAAACGGGAGACCTTTTGCTACGTTTGCAAAGCAGAAACACGATGCTACTGACAGGGTGTTTGATTTGGTATTTTTGTTAAAATATTTTGCAGATAACACTTACAGACTACACTTGTACTGTGCATGTCGCCGTTACTTTGCGACAACTTCCAGTCTGTTTTCCGCCGACACAGTCGCTTTAAACTCCCGTGTCACATTCAGTAACAGTCCCAGCTCGTTATTGGTCCATGCAAAATAAAATCTGGTGCGGTTCTTCCTCTGTAGTACTTTATTATTTCGCCAAATCTTCTGTAACTACGGATCAGACCATCTGCTTCATGTTTACACCAACATGCGCACGCCCAGTGTACGTGAACGGCCGCTAGATGTGCGTTTTCAGCTGTTTTAATGTAGACGGAGATCAACTCCGATACGCAGCTAAAACGCTGCTGTGGACGGAGATCGTATCCGTTTTAAAACTCTTGTTTTTAAACTAAAACGGAGTAGTGTGGATGAGCCCATCTGGCTTCTTCTTACCCTTGTAGTGGGGGCTGGGGCTGGGCCAGAGTGGAAGGCCTCTGCTTGTTCCAGCCACCGTAGTCCAGAGAGGGCCGTACCTTCTTGAAGGGAGTTGAGTGATTAGGCAGCATGAGGCTTCTCTTGGCTGTGCTGGTCTGTGCTGTACTGGATGGCCTGGGGGGGATTTTAAGATAATACTGATGTAAATCACTGGCCTCACAAGGACCGATTCTTCAGATCAGATTTTGAAACCACAAATCCCACCAACAATCATTAGCCAAAACTGTATACCCGTAAAATAAACATGTGCAATAAAGTGACACTATTCTACTGCTAGATGAAAAGGAGACGGCAGAATTATGTTTCACTGCACTGCTCGAGTATCCTTGTATGAAGAAGCAGATGTGTGCCGAACCCTTGCTTTTAACATTTTTCCCGCCAGGTGTCCACTAACGAAACTAACCTGTCCAGGAAAGAGTGGCTCTGGCTGTAGTCTTTAGTCACAGAGCGGCTACCGTAGAATGACGTTGGCTGAAGGGGAGTTGAACCCAGTGGCGCTGCGGGTAAGAAAGAGTTTGAATATACACGTTAACTTTCTATATCATCCTGTTCATTGTCGCAGAATTTGCAAAGGGTAGTTACACAAACTTCTCTAAAATTTCCAAGAGTTATGGATGTAAATAGGTACATTTAGGATGCAAGGAGAATTTAAGTTACTGAAGACATAACCAGCAGTGTACAGAGTTGTGTAGACGTTTACCTGAGCTCCTGTTTTCTTCTGCCTGCTTCAGCTTCTCTTTGCAGCTCAGTAGAAACTTCCTGGATGGATCCGAAGTGGCCTTGTTGTTGCTAAGAAAATGTGTAAATGTTTTATGGATGTTATCTGACTGTGGAAATAGTGGAAGAATTTGTAAAAAGATAACACACTATCTTTGTATGTACTTTGACCAACAATCTACAGATTTAAATTTTGCCAGTGATGGCCATAACACCAGGGGCGGCTGGCCAATAGAGGGTGACAAGTTAGTAGTCAGGAAAAATTCATTGGCAACAAAGGAAAGGCTTTAGGAAGTCAGGTGACATAGTATGAAGAGCCCACAAAGGGAGCAGGTTGGTGGATGAATGTGTCAGCTACAGGCCTTTCACATGGGAGATCAAGTTTCCTGTGTGACCCTGAAAGTTAATGATGACTGTTTGATGTTTTAACCGAAACCATCATCTTTTCCTACAGCTAACCGAATTCTTTCAAACACAATGTTTGGTTTAGGCACCAAAACTGCTTGGTTAGGCTCTACTTAAATACACCAGTGAGATTTTGGTATAGCAAAATAATAACTTTACTATCAGTTGAGTCTGAGTAGTGAGGCTTGTTGCTTTTACCTTGAGGAGTCATTTTCCTTGGGGTAGTCCTCAGTCAGGTCACTTTCAGAGTTAAGGAGTCTCTTTCGCTTCTCACTCCTGAAAAACAGTGACACAGGACAATTCATGTCTCCCAAGCTCAAACTGGAAACAAAACCAAAAACATTACATCTAAAAAATGACATGTGTCAAAGTTCTCCTTTTGCATAGCAACATGAACGTCCTTCATACCTATTCTCAGAGAGTCCAGTGCGAGTGGGAGTGGAGGCAGCTCTACTCGGGCTACCCAGAGGCTTCCGCTGTGTTGTGTCCTCCCGACCTTCTGCACTCTGCCGCCTCGGTGTTGTCTGGAAGATGTTAGGAGTCTGGATATTTTAAGTCAAATGTAAAATGACGATGTCTAAACATTTTTAGGTTAAAATAAAAGTCTTTGTGTTCTTGCTCACCTGTCTCTCCCCCGTCGGACTAGTCTCATTTTTCATTGAGCGGTTCCCAAGCACACTGAAGTTTGCACTTCCATGGGATGATTTTAAAACTGCAAAATTAACAAAGAATAAGACCTCAGGACAAAGCATGGGAATTAAATGATTTTTTGAACTGTTCAGTTATGAATTTCCTTCTCACAAAAACACATTATAACATTTTGCATTAAAGAGGTCATATTCTGCTTTTCCCCCCTCTCTTTTATTGAGTTATAAACCTTTTTTGTGCATGTAACAGGTTTGCAAAGTGAAAAAGCCCAAAGTCCAGCCCAAAGGGAGTTCCCATCTCCCACAGAAAACTCTGAACTGCCTGAAAACGACTCGTTTGTAGTCCAGCCTTTTCTTCCGCTTTCTCGTGACGCCAGAAGAAAACACGCGTCACAATGCTCGCCTAAGCCTAGTTCACACTACACGATTTTTAACCTGTTTTGCCGGTCGGAGCATGCCAAATATCTGTAGGAGTCGGCCGACTCGACATCCAAATTCAGCCAATGAGAGCAGGCATCTACTTTTTCACCGCCAAACACTTTTTACTCCCTCCAGCTCTCTGTAGCTCAGACGATCCCACTACACAAGCTGTCACCGAGCAGTCGCCTAGTGTGAACGCCAAAATGACTTCAAGACTCCCGTCACAAGACAGCAAGTTGTGTAGTGTGAACAGCACATCGATCTGCCCACGCGGAAGTCTGCACGAGCCTCTAGCGGCTAGTCCGACACGCCCTTTTATCTTTATTTATTTGTCCGTGCCCAGAAGTTGAGACCAACTTATGAACTGAGGCTGTCCAAATCCACAGATGAACTGTGGGGAGTTTTGGGCCAACCTACATGCCGAGTTCCTTCAAACACTATGTCCAAGAGCATCTAGGACAACTGATCACTCCAAATATTGATTTGATTTAGATTTTTTTTACTCACTTTGTAGTTTTGGTAATTGATAAACATAATCTATTGACATGTCTGTTTTTGAAAGCATTTTTCCACACCTGCCTACAACATTACTGTATATGATTGTTATTTTGAAAATTTTAAACAAGGTTTAATTTTATTTTTTTAATATCGACTTTTCTGCATCGAGACATAATCTCTCAAGAAAGAATCCCCCGCCCCTACTAACTGGACTGAAGTGATACTTGCAGATAACTTTACATTCTGTTGTCTCGCTGTGCACTTTTCGCCACTGAATGTTTATTTGGTCGTAAACCCTGCGGTGCAGGACAAGACGTGTGTTCATGTTTGTAAGTTAATAAGAAGAAGACTCTAGCAGGAAAGCTAATGTGGTTGTCGATCAGAGTCTGTGGCTCGTGTTGTGTAGCAGGCTGCTTTCTGGCTCAGTGTGACCGCTGACGTTACTGCTTTATGCAAGATTTGATATACGACTCGTCACAGCAAGAGTGTTCTGGATTTGTGTCCTGACTGGACCAAGGCCCTGGCTTAGAATCGGCGATGGCTGACAGACATCACCAGCATCATGATTGTAAAACCCATCCGTTATCACAGCAGCACGTCGGCTTCTCAAACAACTGAAACTGAGATTTAAGAAATGTATGCCTGGAATGTATTAATGATCACCACACAAAGCTTGAGTGTGTTTGCTGAGAAATTCTGTCCTGAAACTGTGTCAATCTGTAACAATTCAACCTTGAGAAATACAACTGACTTTACACTCTGCAAAACAATCAGTGGATACGCTAAACCACATGATCCCACATAAGGAATCATGTTCTTTTAGCTTCCATCGTTCACTCTTTCGTTCTGTGGACCTTTAATAAAGCGTCTTAAGTGGTGTAATTACTTGTCTTTCCCTTCAGCTTGTCCAGGTATTCCTTAGTCTTCTGAGCCAACGTCTGGGGCATCTTATCCAGGGTGATGACACTGCTGTCTTTCAAAGTCAGAATAATTCGGTTTGAATACTGGTTGATGCTCTTCACATTTTGGTTCAGCTGAGGGCAAAAATACAAGAAAGTCAAATTAATTTATCGATTGCAGCTTCATTTATTTCTTTTGTAAGTTTTTCCTATAAATAAAATCACCTCTGCATCCTTTATTAGCCCATAAGTGTTATTGTGAAATTATTTTTGCTTAGATTATAACTATACACCAACTCTTCTACCAATTAACTACTTAAATGAATAATATTTTTCCTCAAGCTAATAATATCTTGAACAGAGGAAAATTGACGAGGACAGAGCATAACGTCAGGAGGATCCTTGATCAACCCAGTCTGGTTCTAAATATGCACTACAGCAGCGATTCCCACACTTTCTCACACTAATCTCACTGCGTGACATGTAACAAACCTGGTATAAAAGTGTATTAGGCCTTTAAAAGTCATCTTTCCTCCAGCTCCCTCTCATCCAGCAATTTTTAAAATATATTTTGGGGCATGTTTTGCCCTTTATATGGAGAGGACAGTGGACAGAGTGGGGAAAGACGAAGAGATATGGGGCGACATGCAGCAAAGGGCCGTAGGCTGGATTTGAACCAGGAAGTAAGGACTGAGCCTTGTAAACGGGGCACGATCCTCATCAAATGAGATAAACCCCAAATGTAGCACTTTCTCAAATGTTTTGCACAATCATGTGCAAGGTTTCTTACAGAATTTTGTCTAGAAAAGCGGCTCTACACAGTCAACCACAGTACACGTTCAGTGTGATGTCCTCTGTTTTTACTCAGTTGTTCAATGTGTACTCCTTTCTGACTGTCAAGACAGCAAGCAAAAAAATCCTGCACATTATTGATCACTTGTGCTCACGTTGTTAACAACATTTCAGACCTTCAGTCTGTAAAATTCCTAACTCATCTTTCATGACTGCGCCAACACTTTAAAGAATGTGTGTTCGTTGGTGGAAATAGTCATAGGTGGAGCATCTAGTCTTTGTGGTGTGCTCCTCACTTGCATTTTATCATCCTTGGAATTGACAAAATATAACAAATTCTTCTGAATCCAAATCAATGTTTTAAGCGGTTACAGCCATTTTTGAATAAGTGCAAAGCTAACAAACTGAACAATACCTGGAAAGTTTTGGAAGCTCCGCCACAGCTGAATCTTAGACAGAGGTTGACCTTGTTGTCCTTTTCCAGAATCTCAAAAGTTCCTTCTTTCCATCTGGTGGTGCCCAGGTCTATGCTGGTAAAGCGGATTTTGACTGCGCCACCGCTGGAGAGTTTAGGCACTGTGGTTGCCATGGCTTACTATCCAGTTGGTGCACTTTGGAGGCAGGGACTTAAATCTAACAGGATCAAACAAAACCTAAACAAGAGGGGAAATTAAATAAAGTCTGTCATTACAACTACAGTGTGCTATTTATAAACCACTCTCTGTCTAGTCTACATAGAGTGGTTTATAAATGTCATGTTTTAACCACATCACTGCCACCGATCATCCGTCCCTGCTGCCATTGCTCCATAGAGAAATGACGTTAAAGTACCGATTTGAAAGGAATGATCAGCACGAGTATTGCGTGGTTTATTAAAATCCCAAAGCACCTGCAAATTGGAAGTTCGTGCTAACGTACGTAAAAACAAAAAACCCACCCCAATAAATATTGCAATGAAGTTATCCCGGTGCGGCCAACGCTTCACCACTGAGGGCTTGTTGAAAGTCACAACAAACTCCAAGTCAAGCACTTGCAACGCAGCACAACAGCACGGGCACTAAATGTTAAACGGCCTATTTAAACATGGATGACACACATTTCGCCTTCCAGGAGCGAGAGTATCACAAAGTGGGGACACTCACGACACTTATGTTAGCTGGCTAGCGGTTCCGTGAAGAACCAATGAAGCCTGGTTTGCGTTAGCCACCAAACTAGCCCAGTGGCCAATCTATTCCGCGGCAGCACAGACGAGCTTACTAGGTGCACGACCTTCCTCCTAGCTTTATTCTGACAAGACGAACAGTCACATACGTGCGCAAGACCAGCAAAGTTACTAAGAGCCGGCCAGGGTGACACTGGAGCGAAGCAGAGTGTCCGGGATGCTGGTAATGTCGCCCCTTCATCTGCAGATGCTGAATGGATGGATGAGGCCGACGTTAGCAAATCGGCTAGCGGGAGCTAACGTTAGCTAACTGGCTAATTTACCTGCCTGTAATTTGGTGATGAAATCTGTCACAGTTTGATTACATCGTCGCGGTTCTTTACCTGTCGGTGATATGTGCTCGTCTCGAAACTTTTAAATCACAGTATCGTTTCCGTAGGTCCGCGCAGGGCATAAAGTTTGTTTAGCCGGCATTCGCCTGCTCTCCGGTACGTATGTTGTTGACAGCGGGACCCGCACTCTACGCGTCGCAACGCCGTGCGATGATGGCGGGAATGTGAAAATTTACAACGGAAATGATAACCGAGAGTGCGCCCGAGCCTCCTCTCGCGATATTTTGAAGATTTTAGCTCGCCTCCATTGCGTGCAACAAAAAGTCGCCGCTGAATTATGCTATCTGATCAATAGCGTTCCGTTTTCAGCTATCGATACGTCTAGATGAGAACATTAACGTTTTGTTACCCCGTTATCTCAAGGAAGTTATGTTTTTTGTAACGCTGATAAACGCGCGTACTGGATTTCATTTGTCAAGACACTTAGCTGCTAGCTTAGGCTAGCTGCCCGTCCTGTGTAACGTTAACGAACGTTACGCAAACTTTGTTTTATTTGCAGCCACATTAGTTTGCAACCACAGCACTCTTCACTTGATACTGTAGAGTTTTAACAACACTTTTGGACCACAGAGATCTTCAGAGAATGCTGGCAACGGGAGCAGTGAGTATTTAATATCACCGTAACGTACTGTTCGGTAACTTACAGCCGTTTTGACAACGTTACATTTTCCCCCTTTTGTTGGCAAACTCTCAATTGAAGCGTTACCTGTTACATGGAATATTTCTCCACCAGAGCCTAAAGCTTTGTTGATCTGAACAATGTTTGGCTGCATAGTTTGTAAAGGCTGGACCAGTGCCTAAGTGGAACCTATATATTTTGGCTGTGTCATAACGTTGAACGCTTAATAATAATAATAATAATAATAAAACTGCCAATTCATTCACAATCACGACAGGATGAAGCTATTTGCTCCCATGAAATCAGATTTTTGAATACCTTATTGTTAGTTATTGGATGCCATATTGTGAGACTGTCTAGTGTTTGCATTTGTTGATTATTTCCCCATCCTTTAACAGGCTGTAACTAACGTCACAGCCCTGGCTCAGGTCGACCGGGAGAAGATCTACCAATGGATCAATGAGTTGTCCAGTCCAGAGACCAGAGAAAATGCCTTGCTGGAGCTAAGCAAGAAACGCGAGTCTGTGCCAGACCTGGCACCAATGCTCTGGCACTCCTGTGGCACCATTGCTGCCCTGCTGCAGGTATGACCCCTGTACTAGGGTTGGGTATCGTTTAAAAAAGTTTGATACTAGTACCAAAATCAGCACCCTTAAAGTGATACAGTTACCAGTAGAGTACTTCATTCGATACCTTGCAAAAAATGCTACCTGTTGAAGCCATAGTAGTTGATTGGTAGCCTATTATTATTTTCTATGTAATATGTTGTTCACATAACATAAAAAATATTGGGAAATTGTATCAGATCTCTCCTCATCCTAATTAGGTCGTGGTCACGGGCAAAGACTACAGCTTGCAATTTTTTTTTACATCTGAATTAGACAGGAGGAGTGAAATAGTTTAGTGACCAAATCAGTTGTGGGAAATGAATTTAAGGTAATTATTTGATAGACTACGTGTGTTGAAAGTAAACAACGGAAAATTATGTTGTTAACTTTCGATCAATGAAATGAATTGAAAGATCTCAGTGTTTTTTCCTTTGGTGGTGAGTCGCAAAAAAATGACTGTCAAAAATGACAGTCACAGGTATAAAACGAGTAAGGAGTTTGTTTAAACAAGTCACTTAACTAAAGACTCTCAGAGGCTGCACGTCCAGCTTGATCAAACCGACTACACCTGAAGCAGCCGCAGCCGGAGGCTCCGTCAGTAAAATCAGCTGATTGCTGCTGTGCCACAAAAGCCTGACGAACACGCCTGAGACGCAGCCGAAGGTGAGCGGCTGTTAAAATCAGCATGGACTGAGCGCGTGCAGGCTAAAAGTGTGCTGCTCTGTTGTGGTGTGTTGCTTTGTTTGTTTGGCTGCAAGCAAAAACATCCATCCATCCATCGTGAACCGCTTATCCTGTGTACAGGGTCGCGGGGGTCTGGAGCCTATCCCAGCTGACATGGGGCAAAAGGTGGGGTACACCCTGGACAGGTCGCCAATCCCTTGCAGGGCAACACATTGGCAAACAACCAGTCCCACTCACAATCACACCTAAGGACAATTTAGGGTCACCAATCAACCGAAGCAGGAGCACCCGGGGAGAACATGCAAACTCCACACAGAAAGGCCGGGGCAACCGTGCCGCAGGCAAAACCATACAAAAGTCATTTTTCTGCCGCGATCTGGCTACAAAAAGTATCGATTGAAGTACTTTTTTGACTGGAGACGTTACGATTCTACTTGATACTGGGCTGTTTCAGTCGATACCAAAAACAAGTCAAGTAGCGATACCCACCCCTACCATGTACCAACCCTAGCTGTAGCACAGTATGTCTTTGGTCACTATATAAGTCATTATATCTGCTGTTGTGTGGCCTTGATGATTTCTTCCCTTAACATGTTTCTTTTTTTAGGAAATAGTGAACATCTATCCATCTATAAACCCACCTACGCTTACAGCTCACCAGTCCAACAGAGTGTGCAATGCTCTAGCACTTCTGCAGTGTGTTGCCTCACACCCAGAGACACGGTAATGGGGAGTTCAATATAATGAAAAATCGCAGTGGTTTTTGTTACTGACTTGTTTCTTGTGATGCTAGTGATGGCAGACTGTCTTTTCAACTATGTAATCCAGCAGAAAGATGTTGCTACTTAATCTATTGGACTATTCCGTCATATGCATGAAGCTAAAAAGGCGACCCCGGAGATTATTTACTGTGCATGTAAGTCTGGTCAGACTGATTAAAATGCTTTTATTTCTTTGTTCCTTTACCAGGTCAGCTTTTCTGGCTGCTCACATCCCTCTCTTCCTTTACCCTTTTCTGCACACTGTGAGCAAAACGCGGCCGTTTGAGTACCTGCGACTTACCAGCCTCGGAGTCATAGGTAAACATCGCTCCCGCTTAGGTGTTTTGCTTCTTGATTGAGGGGTTATTTTCACAAAACTGTGTCTTCATCATTCTCATCAAGCCGCCTTTATGCGTTTTTTGCAGGTGCGTTGGTCAAAACAGATGAACAAGAAGTTATTAACTTCCTCCTCACCACTGAAATCATCCCGCTGTGTCTTCGCATCATGGAATCGGGGAGCGAGCTCTCCAAGACGGTACTTAACTGTTCCAGCTGCTTTCCAAACAGTCTTCTAAAGCCGCGTTTCTACCAAAAGTACCTGGGAATTTTAAGTCCCCGGATCTCTTTTCAAGGAACTAAAAGGTTCCTTCAGCCCACAGTTGTGTGCGTTTCCACCGTGGTCTAAAGACCCCGCGAAGATTCGGGAAATTAACCTGCTGACGTAGGCTGTACAAAGCGACATGCATCATTATTTTGTAACCACTATCCATCAGGAAAATCTATAAATGAACATTTGTGGGGCGGCTGTGGCTCAGGAGGTAGAGCGGGTTGGCTGTTAATCGGAAGGTCGGCGGTTCAATCCCTGGCTCCCCCTGGTTGCGTGTCGAAGTGTCCTTGGGCAAGATACTGAACCCCGAATTGCCCCAGGCGGCTATTCCGCCAGTGTATGAATGTGTATGACTGGTGAATGCAGATGTAGTGTAAAAGCACTTTGAGTGGTCGAAAAGACTAGAAAGGCGCAATACATACATTTACAACATCAGCTTTGACTGGAATATAATGAAAAACTGGTTGTGCTGGACCATTAAAACAGTTTTTTTGTGTGGGAGTGTAATAGACAGACACCTGATAAAGATTGTTATAAATTTAATAAATGTAAATGCTCCGTATTTGTATAGCGCCTTTCCAGTCTTTTCAACCACTCAAAGCGCTTTTACACCACATCTGCATTCACCAGTCATACACTGAGCCTAAGTGCTCAAACGGAAACTAACATTCACAACATTCATACACTGGCGGAACAGTGGTGATAATAATTGATATCAAATGGTATGAAATATTTTATCGTGATAACAGTTTTGGCCATATTGCCCAGCCCTACTGTTGGTATACAGTAATAGCACCACAATGTGTCCTCCTATCAGTCATTTCTCCCAATCTGCTGCTTTTCATTAAGATTTATGAGCACTGCTGTGCTGCTAATTACACTGTCTTATAGGTAAGGAAATATATTACTAGTAAGTGACCGTTTTGGTGGCTAACGGGGTCGTAATCTCAGGTAACATCTCGCTATTCTTCACTTTTTTTGTGTGACAGGTTGCTACTTTCATACTGCAGAAGATCCTGTTGGATGACACGGGGCTGGCCTATATTTGTCAGACGTATGAACGCTTTTCTCATGTGGCTATGATCCTTGTAAGTGTCCCTTGAAAAACACCTGAACTTGATAAAAAGTACCTTCCTCTGCAAAGCCTAATAAGAGGAGATCCTCCATTACAATATGATTTCCTTCTCTTTACTTCCAGGGCAAAATGGTGCTCCAGCTCTCCAAAGAACCATCAGCTCGCCTGTTGAAGCATGTTGTTCGCTGCTACCTTCGCCTCTCAGATAATCTCAGGTAGGACCCTGCATCACATGACTGTGTCGATCACGTGACTGATCCTAGCTACTGTTGAGTGAAAATGATTTATCACAAATTTACATCAACATAATTTAAACAGTGTTTCCTATTAATTAACGACACATGGCGGCCCGCCACAGTCTAATTTGTTCAAAATGAACCGAAAATATTTTTACACATCTCATAATAACATTACAGACCTCTAATGTTTTGTGGGCGCTGCTGTGAGCTCACACGCTCACACACTTTGGCATCCAACTTGAGACAGTCACTTTTCTTTTGAGGTAACTGCCGTAACGTTAATGGTTTCTGTCACTCGTCTGTGAGAAGGAGGTTAAGTTAGCCGCACCTGAATTTGGAGTGCACACGTATTCAAGTCTTTACGGTAAGTGAAGCGGCCCAGAGCGAGCTGACAGGCAGGTTAGAGACTTTATCCTGTCAGGTTGTCTCTTTAGTGTGAAGAGAGGCTGTGAAGACCAGAACCACATAAAACAGCATTTATTAAACCCGGGTCGGACTGGATGAATTTAGCGCGAGGAGGAAACACATGTGACAACGTCCTGTTTTCAAAATAAGGCGTCTGTACAGGATGGAAATAAGATTAATTGGATTATATTCACAGAAAGTATTAAACATATTACATGTGTCCATTAGAAGTACAAACAACAACAATAAAATGTTCTGTTCTTTGATTTAGGGGTGCTGGAAAAACATTAAATAAATTTTGTTGCTGTTTCATCACCATTTGTAGCTCTACAATGCGTTTATGATCAAAAAATTTATTAGAGCACAACATTGTTTACAAGCGTAGTTTCTTCATAGATAGCCTCTCAGTTTTGCATCAGATTAAAGCATTTAACTTAAAAATGCACAAACGTTTCTTCTTTCTGCCCATCTTTTTTGTCACAGGGTGTAATAATAAACATTGATATTTGTTAATCTATAAAGTCCTTGTTGAAGTGCTGCAACATTACACCTCAGTGATGCTGGTTTAGATAAACTGGCTTCTGCTAAAGGTCCCCGAACACGACTGGATTTCAGTCAGCCTTTTTACTTTAGTGTCCTAAATTCTTGGAATGAATCTCCAACACATGTTAAAACCTATAAGACCTATAAGACCTTGACCACTAACCCCACTGAATGATTGTGTAACTGTTTTAATATTTATTTGCTGAATTCTCATCTTTGTTTGTCCTATTGAGTTTCCACTTGTATGTAGTTCGGCTTCCTTGCAACTCAGACTATGACTGAAGAATTTGATCATCAGCACTTGCCACTAGGAGGAGCCATTACATAAAGACAGCGTGTGATGGTGATGCGATGTGTCGGTCAGCCTCTTCATATCGTTAGAAAACTAATTTAAAGTCTTGCTTTGAGTTCTGGTTACTTGTGGTGGGCTATTATCTCTGGGCACACTTTGCCTGAAATAAAGACCATCCCTGCTAAAGTCCTTACAAGACCAGTAAACAGAAAAATCCCTCTACTCCTTTCTGAATTATTTTTTATTTTTTTCCACAAATACCATCTTACATCGTAAATACCTTGATAAAATGTCAGGAAGTATATGTCTATAATCTGGATGTACTGTAGGTAGCGAGGCTCTGACCTTTTACAAAGGTTTACCTCTCGCTGCTGTTTGGCGCCACCAACACGAGAAGCTGTCTGCTTTATAATATGATGGCAGAAAAGAACATTGTTTTGTGACGCGGGGTATTCTTTCCTCAGAGCCAGAGAAGCCCTGCGTCAGTGTCTGCCGGACCAGCTGAAAGACAGCACCTTTGCCCAGGTGCTGAAAGACGACACCACCACGAAGCGCTGGCTGGCACAGCTGGTCAAGAACCTGCAGGAGGGCCAAGTCACCGATGCTAGAGGCATCCCACTGGCTCCTCAGTGACGGGGACAAAGTGTTTACAGCTGACGCAGAAGGACTCTCTCATCGCTGTCTAGATTTGGTATTTTTGGCCAAAGGTGTTGCTAAGACTGTCTGCAAAGTGAGTCACATAATAGAGGAAGATTTGTTTGCTGTTTACACCAGTTTTCTTCTAGTATGTCATGAGCTCACTATCACAACTGAAAATCTGTTTTTTTGTTTGTTTTTTTAAGAGCCAGGCTAAAAGTGGGTTTTCAAAGTCGATAGTAATATTGATATTTGAGAATAATTTTAATCCAATGATGATGTATTGTCCGGAATTTGTGAACAACATAAACAGGTCCCTCAAATTTGGTTTATAAGGAGTTGTGGTAAAGAATGTCTCGGGTATGATATTTTACAAAATAACTCACTGTCAAAACATTACTGAGCAATAAACTTCACTGAAAATGATAATTTACTTGTAACAACAGAAAAATACATGAAATATGCTAAAATGACCTGTAAAGTAAACAGTAAAACTTGTATTGCTGCAACATATCAATACTAATAGGTCAGTGTTAAGGCCGTGTCTGTTAATTATCAGCTCTTCCAAGAGATCGGTCAGCTCAGTAGTTTCCCGTTTATCACTGTAACGTTCTGTAACAATCCACTAAAAAGTAGGAACTGTTATTTTTTGCTTCTTTCATTTCAAATAAGACTTAATCTTCTATTTGACTGGTTGTGTCTCCTTTTATTTTATTTTTGCTGTGGACTGACATTACAGTTGGCAGAGCGAGGCTTACTGACATGGATGTGTTTCTGTATATTTCTGTGCAGAGTGAAATCTGAGAAGCTGGTCTTGTTTAAGATATTTCATAAATAAAATGTTTTCCACCCAAGTTACTACTTTTCCTTGGTACCTAGCTGTGGAATAGATCTATCCAAAACAATAGCGATTGCGCGGCAGGATCTTACCAGCAATAACAGGGCAGTTCAAATCGAGAAGTCGGACATAATGTTGCTCATGTCACCTGTTGGCCAAAAAGCTAAAGGAGGAATTGAGACGAGGCAGAGATGTTTTTTCCAGTAAGTACTGAGATGCAAAGAACATAACAGCACGGCAACGTGAAACTTATGGAAAGAAACTCGGGCAGCTGCTGCCAGTGATGCATTCACTCGTCGGGAGAGAGTGGTGTTTAGCAACGTTTAATGTTTTGTATTAACCCTGAATTCTGTTCTTATAAATACATGTGCAGAAAAGCTTTAGTTCAGAAGTCTGGACTGACTTGCTTTGCAGTAGCGGCAGGAAACGTTAAATGTTTGGTTTTCTCTGCTGTTATGAATTTGTTATTAGTTAAAAAGTCGGGAGAGATTTGCATTGTGTTTTGTGAGATTTGTTTTATTAAATATATCAGTAGCCTGTACTACAGCACCATCTGGTCTAACAGGCTGCAGTGCTTTCAGTTCGGCTCATTGTTTCTTCCCAGGGTTAATTATTGTTCCAGTAAAGTGGATTCATTTTTCCTCACTTTTTAGGTATGGGGTAACATAACTAGTTAGCCTGTGTTAAATACCCACTAGGCTAATAAGTAAAGTAGGGCGTAATTACTTTTTTAAGGAATAATAAGTAAATTAAGCAACTTGCTGCTGTTTTCAGTCTTATCCACTTGAAAGACAGACTGACGGACGTGTAATTAATGTCTTGTGGAGCCAAATTCAACCAACCATTCCCACTCAGATTTACACTAATTTAAAGTCTCCAATTAACCTGTTGTGCAGGTCTTTGGACTTAGAGGAGAGCCACCCATGCACATGGAGAACATACAAACTCCACACTGACAGGCAGAGAGTACTTCAACTCTCTCACCTATATTTAATTAGAAACTAACACCAAAGGTTTGGTCGGCGTGTTTTCAGTTGGACTGCAAATAAATTTTATAAATGTCCCACAAAATGTAAGAAGTAACTCTTGGGCACATATTTTGTATTCATCACATCTTCATATCTTATATCAGAGTTGTAGAAAGTGTCCACTTGTGACAGGTTGCCCCATGGGCAGGTAAGTTGTCACACAATTCCTACTACTGTCTAATAGTTGGAGCTATACAAATCCATGTGGCTGAGATGGCACAGGCTAGCGTGACAAACTCATTTCTGTACATTTTGTCCACATTGTCATAGAAAGCATTAGCATTTTCTCTTTTGAAGCTACCGGGCAAGGCTAGTCTCCTCTGGCTGTTTCAGCGACAGCAAGAAACCCCTCTTTGCTGGTGTGCCACAGCAAACCGGTAGGAAAATCTTCTGACCTCACTTGGCAACAGATCAAAATAAATGTAAGCATACTGTACATATTAATATTTCAGAAAGCTACTTCCCCAAATCAGGGGGGGGTCATAATGTCAGTCTCACTAGAGTTGCTAAAAAAAACACTTTTATTCAGGAGAAATTCTTATTGCAGAATATTTTAGGTAAAGTTTTGAAGATATATTTAAGTTAGGTTCAGGTTCAGATGAGAAAGTGGTTCACCTGTGCTCACTGAGTGCTCCGTCTAACAGACTACACTGATGGGCCTTCTTTTCCTTTTACCGGTACATTAACAGATTTCAGTCCCCACAGGTTCCATTATCTTCACATCTGAGATGAACAACATGCATCGCGGAAACACCTACACTCAAGCCTTCCATTTGTGAGCAAGTCCGATCCCCATGGGAGAAGTTCCTAAGTATGCATTGTGTATTTTCGTCCATTTACCTTTTATAAGGAAAGAGCTATACAGTAGCTGAAGTCATTATAGGGCCCGGTCCAGGAAGCCTTTCAAACGGAGGAGTACATTAGCTCCACTGGGTGTTTTTCATTTTTGTGATGCTATTTCTAACTGAGACGTTCACATTGCTGGCCTCTAATATTCACCTGTGATTTGTTTGCATGATAAAAACAGGTTGAAACCAAACTATAATCACTGCATTTTTGTATGCACGTTGAAGTGGTGGTGAAAGTGTCTATAAATCAAGGCTCTGCTCTGCAGCTTGTGGCGTACTGCCAAGTTTTACAGTACAGTTAGATATCAGATTCAGCCTGAGCCAGTGTTTTATCAGGAATTCTCAAAAATTTCAGAGGCCTCTTGTGATTAATTCTGCAGATGTTTTTATTTTTTTCAATATTTCACATTGTTTTATAATTTGGCTTCTGTCCCCAACACAGCAGACATTTTCCCAGAATTGTTACCCGTTATCAGTGCTCATACAGAAACACTAGAGTCGCTCTGCCGAGCATCCACAATACCCAGAGGATGAAGGACAAAGACAGAACGAGGCAAAGCACACCGAGGGGAGTGACCTTCACTGGATGCAGCGGGGGGATCTGCGGATGGCGAAGACAGGGAGTGGCAGGAAAGGAAGGAAGGAAGGCTGGTGGTGGTGGGGGGGGGTCCAGCGGAGGAGGAGGAGGAGGATATGAAGGGGTGGGAGTGGACTTGAGTGGGAAAGAGCGCACCAGCGTGCGGCAGCAGTGACTAGGGAATCGGGTTTGTCAGGCCCAGCAGTAAGAGTGGAGAGAGGGAAGAGGAGGCTGAGCCAGATTTCCTCTCGGACACTCCCAGTCTTTTAAGGCCCTGAGCTCAGCTATTAGTCCCTGGACTCTGCTTGAGTCTGGATCTCAGCAGTGTGACTTACACACCTGACCTGAACCTTCTCTCGAGCCGGCCATCCAGGGTCCTACCCATCAGTATCTGAAGCCTTGCCTGGGACAGCTGTCACGTGAGGAGTACCAACCTCTGGTGGCGCTGTGAGACCTACACTTTTGGTAAGTGTAACTTTTTCCATAACAAGGAAAAATATAGTATACAAATTGTAGTTTGTCTGAGTCATTCCTTCTTTCTTTAGCTGCAGTTGCATACAGGCTTTGCTTGAAGTGATGCTTGATGGCTCTAATTTTCTGTGCACAAACCTCCCTCCTATCAGCGGTTTGCTGTTAAATATAGATTTTATAGGACTGGCACTGCCACTTGTTTGTTGATTTCCTCATATTGCAGGAAGAAGGCAGTCACGGGCAGCAGGACAATAATCCCACTGTACTGTGGAAATACAACATTCCTTTGATGGATAGAATGGATTTAAACTACAAACTAGAAGCACACAAGATAAAAGTATGAGCTGCTGGTGTGAGACTGAGTTGTTTATTCATAGACATCCCCATTAGTCATGTGTTTGTGTGTTTGTGACTCATCTCGCCTAAAAAGAACGCCTATGCAAAGCACTTAAGCATGGTCCCCAAAATAAAATAACATGACCTAAGCTCAGCTTGAGGTCTGGATGTGAAGTATGAATGAGGGTGCGTGAGACTCTCAACAGTAGAAAATCTGAGAAACGTGGACGGACAATAAAAATGTGTTTCACGTGGCTCTGCAAGTGAAAAGCACAAAACATAGAAGCACACGTTTGTTTAGTTGGGTGGAAAATAACCTTCACTTTCGTGGTCAGTTTTTTTTTTTTTCCAGTGGGAGTGTGATATTAAATTGTGACTCGCCTGTGAATGCATTCCTTACATCATGTCACGTGAGGAAAGTTCTCACCACAGTAAGACTTACTGTGGTGAGAACTTTCCTCATAAACTTGCCGTGGAGGGGAGGACTTGTTGTTGTGAAACGCATAGAACCCAAGATCTTGTTATTTCAGGAGACAGTGGCAGGAAAGGATAGCTGTCAGGCAGGAATACAAATATACAGACATTAGAAAACCTTCTCTTTCCGGAAGTATTTGACCCACATTTATCAGTGAACAACAGAGATTGAAGGAGTTTATCAGTTTTCACTGCAGTCTGCAGTTAATTTATCTTTTTCAGCGTGGGTCGCTCTGCTTTCAACGAGACATGTTATTAGGGTGTAAAGATAGACGGGGTTTTATGATGTACAGATTGCAAAACACAAAGACAAATTATAATATAGTATATACTGTGCATACTCACTGAACCATGAATGTCCAGTAGTGGCAATATTTAGGTCTGGACTAAAACGGTAGACTAGCCGATGTACAGATCAACACACCTACTCATCAAAGTTGTCATCCATAGGGCCACGTGACGTCACCAGCACAGCAAAAAATAAATACATACAAATACACGTATAATACGTGTGATAAATTACAATAATCCTATAGTGATTACATTAACTACTAACCACATGTAGATAAATTTAATTTCTTAAAATCAACTACTCTTGACATCTATCTGATCAGGCTGAGGCGAGCACAGACTAAGTGTGTGTGATTTTTCTTGGTCGGCACACAGAGTGCAGATCTTGCCATGCACAGGCCTTTCACTCTGCTTGCAGATATAATGAATGAGTAAAGTTTGATGGTATAAGTGGATCAATATTTAAATGCTGACTCGCCCTAAAAATACCATGGCTGTTAGTGCTTGTAGTCTACTACATCCTTGCAGATTCGGACAGTATCCTCTCTTTTTCAACATCAGTGAAGTTTTAAGGAAACAAAAACAGAGATGATTTTATCATTTGAGAAATATAACCAATGTTATAATAATAATAAGAAGAAGAAGAAGAAGAAGAAGAAGAAAAATGTGGTAGAGCACATATCAAACAAGGTACAAAGTGCTTCACAGAGATATAAAAGAGAAGAGATCGATAATACATAGTATTCAATAAGAAACAATTAAACAGAACATATAATGCACTGATAAATGGTTAAGCAGGAATTTAAGAGAATAAAGGGCTAGCAGCAGATAGACTCAGAAAAGTCTTTCCGGAAGAAATTATTTTTCATGCAAGACTTAAAAGAAGACTCTGATGCAGACAGCCTGATTTCCTCTGGCAGGTCATTCCAGAGCCTCAGGAGGGACAGAAGACCCCTGTCATGAAGAAGTAATAAAAGTAATCAATAAGATCTTTATATCAATACTAAAAGAGACAAAGAGCCAATAAAGTGAAAGTAAAATTGGTGTGACGTGGGCATACTTCTTAGTTTGGACTAATAACCTCACAGCTGAGTTCTGCACAATCTGTAACAGAGTTTCTTTTATTTAGACATGAGAACAGACTGTTGCAATAATCTAGGTGAGAGGATATAAAAACACGTATAACCGTTTCTGCATCTCTGGCATTTAAGATGCCAACTTGCAACAAGCTTAATGTGTGTAGAAAGGAGACCTATAGAGGGGTGTTGGGGTCCAATTACGAGGATTTCTCTTTTATTGGTATTTAGCTGTAGAAAAGTCATAGACATCCAGTTTGTTATGTCAGCCAGGCAGGCTTTGATGACATGCAGCACACAGAGGTCGGTAGGCTTCACTAGGAGGTACAACTGAGTATTGTCTGCATAGAAATGGAAGGAAACTGTATTGGTGGATCACATCTCCCAAGGGGAGCATGTAGATTGAAAATAAAATAGGTCCAAGGATTGATCCTTGAGGCACACCGTATTTAACAAAAGAAAAGGCAAATATTATTAGACACACGGAACTTCCTGTCAGACAAATAAGAGGCAAACCAGTCTGATGCCATGTCACAGATGCTCGCCCAGCTCCTCATCTATCTAACAAGATGCCATGGTCGATTGATTGGTCATGTCTAACAGCACCAGAATTGGACACATGCCACAGTTCGCATTCAAAAGGAGGCCATAGGTAACTTTTAGAAGGGCAGTCTGTGCTGTGATGTGAACAGAAGCCAGACACTGAGAAAATGTTAGTCTTTTCTTTCAGCTACAGATCTGGAGAAACTCATCCATGCCCATTGTAACTCCCTACATACCTGTCTCAGTCAGAAATCAATTCATCGTCTACAATTAGACCAAAATGCCGCAGCTCGACTTTTAAGTCGCTGCAAAAAATGTGCCCATATAACCCTAGTTTTAGCATCCTTGCACTGACTGCCTGTTTCTTTTAAAATTCCTCTACATACTTTCAAATATATATATATGAGCTTTTATCCCCCTGTGAGCCAGGACGCAGACTAAGATCCTCTGGTAGGATGTTGCTAATCATTCCAAGGACTAGACTGAAAACCAAAGGAGACAAGATCTTTGCTGCCAATATTTTCAAACAAGAGGAGATCAGGCTTGCAAAGTCTGTTCCCGATTTTATCTCACTTGTCAAGACACTGTGTGATGCCTGTTTTTTTTTTTTTTTTTACCTTTTTTGCATATTGACTTATGTATGTTTGTGTTAATTAATTGTACCATTGTGTGAGGTCTATTCTTATTTTTATCTCTCATTTCCTTTCGAGTTATTGTTTTACATTTATTGTTGTAAACCACTTTGTCACCTGCACCGAGTAAAGAGCTATTCAAAAAAAGCTATTATTACTATTATTAGTCATATTATAATTATTATGTTTATTAAATCCTTAATGTTAAGATTAATGTTAAGGATCTTTGTACTCCATGCTTCTGCACAACTGATTGGACAGTTTGACTGGTTAATTAACGTGATGGATGGACATGTTTCACCTCACTGGATCAGTAGTCCTGTCAAAGGGAACCAGTAATATCCTCATTTAACTAACCATATGAAGTTTTACTACATAAAGGTACTGCGGCAGCTGTTCCAATGAACCAGCTTAGTATCCAACAAGGTAGTTTTGTGCAACTGTTTCATTTTGAATCAGGATGTTGCTGAAAGTGTGCTCGGAAAACCTAAAAACAACTGAAGATAAATATTATGCTGTAATTATTTGTATTTGGATAGTTTATGCATTGGCTGAATGTACATAGAGCGTTTAAATTTTTTTTTTTTGGGAAACAGGGAAAGACATCTGGAACAATTTTTTGACATCTGCTTTTTTTGCAGCACATTTCCATTGATATGACTCCAGAATAGCAATGGATCCTGAAGGTTCATGTGAGTAAATGTTATTCTCTCAGACTGAAGATCAACACGATCAAAACCTTTTTGTTTCTTTCATAAACATTAACTTTTTATGTGACTTTGTGCAGGTATCCAAGATGACCCAGATGTCAAGGTGATGATGGCAGGGTCGACTCTGAGAAAAGTCAAGTCCCGTTCGTGGAAGAAGCAGCGCCATTTCCGCCTTCTTGAGGACGGCCTGACGATCTGGTACAAGTCACGATGGGCGGGGAAAGGCCACTCCACCTGTGAGTACCGAATTGTGTGCACGTGTTCGGATGCGTCATTGTACAAACATATTAACTTTCAATGATTCTCCCTGGTTATGTTAAAAATGTGAACTCAAACACAAGCATTTCCTCTCAGGCCACATACACATGCTTTTTTCATTACAAAGATCATTTAATTAGTGGTGTTAAGTACAACTCAAAGGTACAACTTGTAAGATATGCCCAGAATTTATAATAATAATTATTTAATTTAATTCCTTTTAAAACTATTTAACACTATGTTTTTTTGTGTCCAGTATTTTTCAATTAGCATTTCATGTTTTATTTTGATACACACACCTCTGGCTGTAGTTTTGACATTTCTTGTTTTAATTGTATTGATTTTATTGTTTTATTGTATGGTTGTTTATTTGTGTTTTATGCGTTGTGTGAGCTTTGTTTTTAGTGTCTTTTATGTATTCATTTATTGTTTTACTGTACAGCAGTTTGTGTCCACTTGGATTGTAAAGTGCTCTACAAATACATTTTGATTGATTGATTGATTTTAGTTTCAGATACCTCTGTGATTACCTGCCCTGATCGATATCACCTGTTTCTTATTACCCCTTCTCCATTGTGTATTTAGTTGGTGTGCTCCTCTTGTCTGTTGCCACTTCATCTTGACTCATCATAGTCTTCCAGCGTTCTTTTTAAAGGAGACCTATCATGCTTTTCCATATTTTATAATATCTTAATCTATAATGTTACAATGTTGGATGTTCATGTTAAACATGGTTAAAGCTTCAAATAATGAGGTTAAAGTAGTTTAGAAATCCCTGTGAGCAAAAACCTCAGATTTCCTCCAGTTCTGAACGCTCTGTTTTGAACACGGAGCTACACGGAGCCGCTGTTCCATATATGGTCATTTGCTCCCACAGCAACGCTCAGTCTGTCTGTCCCGCTCAGCGACAACAACAGCCTGGTAACATACTTCAGGTCTTGGCCAATCAGAAGACAGTGGGCTTTGAGAGGGGGGGCTTTAAAGAGACAGGAGCATCTACAGCTTGTTTCAGACAGAGGCTGAAATGAACGCCTACATGAAGAATCAGTATAAGACAGAGAATTAATGTTTTGAACTTTGAATCATGCAAAGCTGCCATACAGGAGTCACAGAACTACAATAAAGGATTGGAAATGCAGTATAATAGGTCTCCTTTAAGTGTTCTCACAGTGATAGTTTTGATCTTTTCCATCGAGCCTTGCCTGCAAGTAAAGACTTTTTCCATTTAACTGCCTATATGTTTTCCAGTCCATCTCCTGTTGTTCCTAGTGCAATAATGGCAAATTGTCATTTCGGCACTTTGGAGTTTGTATTGATTTAACAAACACCATTATAATTATTACTAATTTACTAATTAATTAGTAACTAAGACACGCAGGTAGACAGATGCTGTTACCTACAAAGCTGACTGTTTCCAATTGTTATGTTAAGATAAGCTAACTGGTTGTAGCAGCTATATATTTACCACAGAGACGTGAGAGTTGTGTCTTTGGGAACATCCAAGGGGCTCAAACACCCCAGGTTCACCCATATTAATTGGTTGTACCTACCTTGATTAATTGCAAAAGGATTTAGGAATTGTGTCTTTTATTATTTAATTTTGTGACCTTGGTTGTGTATCGAAACCCTGTCTTAAAATCCTTTTTTAGGACCTATTTTGTTAGTTTATGTTGCTAACATTGGTACATAGTCCTAAATAAATATATATTTCATCAAATTGCTGCAAAGTACTTAACACACATAAATCCCAGGGTCAAGTAGTATTGGTTTGTGGGTGTCTAGGGAGTGTTTTAAAAATGACCCTGGCTAACAAAGTACCGAAAACATTGATGAATTAAGCAAATTTACGGCTCCTGTACGCCTCCCACTCAAACTGCAGACAGAAGCATATGAAATGCATCAAATAATTAAAATTCTCTATTAACTTTAACCATCACGTCTCAGTCTCAGTTACCGAGGTGGAGGCCGTGCGTGAGGGCCACCAGTCTGAGGTCCTGTTCAGCGTTGCTGAGGAGTTCTCCGCTGACCTCTGCTTCACCTTGGTGTTTCACGGTCGCCAAGGCAACCTGGACCTCGTGGCCGACTCACCAGAGGAGGCCCGGGCCTGGATCCAGGGAGTGCGCAAGCTGATTCACAAGGTTCAAACAATGGATGAGAAGGAGAGGCTAGACCAGTATCCTTTTATTGTAGTAGGGGATGTTTGGTATTTTATGAAAACAAGTGTTTATTCTGGTGTTCAGAGTCAGAAGGAGCTTTATTGCCAAGTAGTGTTTTAGACTTGGTGGTTAAGGTGCTACATGCAGACAGACAGACATCTGACATAAATAGATGTAGAAATATATAAATATGTAACAGACAAATGCAAGTTATATAAGAATAACGGAAGAATAGAGAAAAATAATACAACTGACAATATAAAAAATAAATAAATAAATAACAATGGAACAACAACAATTTACTATTAACAACAAATATGTGCAATGTGCCAGGTTCGTGCATGATATGACATGAAGTGATATTTACATGTGCAAAGACGATTGTATTATTTGAAGGGGGGGGGGGGTATCAGTGGGGGACCCGGGCCTTGTTGATGAGGCTGCAGACAGGTAGAAGCTGTTTTTGTGGTGAGAGGTTTTGGTCCTGATGGACCGCAGCCTCCTGCCAGAGGGGAGAGTTTGTGACCGGGATGGGAGGAGTCAGCTGCAATCTTTCCTGCTCGCCTCAGAGTCCTGGAGGCGTGCGTCCTGAAGAGAAGAAAGATTGCAGCCAATCACCTTCTCTGCAGAGCGAATGATGCGCTGCAGCCTGCCCTTGTCCCTGGCAGTGGCAGCAGCGTACCAGATGGTGATGGAGGTGAGGATGGACTCAATGATGGCGGTGTAGAAGTGCACCATCACTGTCTTTGACGGGCTGAACTTCTTCAGCTGCCACAGGAAGTACATCCTCTGCTGGGCCTTCTTGGTGGTCCTGGGTCCACAGTGGTGACTGGGGAGTCACACAGGATGATGGGGGAGGGTGGGGCTGTGCTCTTTCTAAAGTCCACAACCATCTCCACTGTCTTCAGAGCGTTGAGCTCCAGACTGTTCTGGCAGAGGTCAGGGCGACGGGTCTGTAGTCGTTTAGTCCCGTGGTCCTTGGTTTTTTGGTATTAAGTAATTACATTGTTGTGCTGCACATTTTCTCTTATGTTTCTCTTTATACTGTATATATTTAAAGCTTATTCTAGTATAACTCTCTGGCAGAGTGTAAGAACAATTTTGAGGTTCCTAAGGGGAAAAGGAAGTTCTTCGTTTTATTGTAATTGATATTTCACAACACTTCTGAGCTGGCGTTTCCCTCAACATCATCTCAGGTGGGTCCGGGACTGGTTTCAGAAAGCTGACAAAAACAAAGATGGGAAGATGAATTTCAAAGAGGTGCGGAAATTGCTGAAGATGATGAACGTAGACATGAATGAGGAACACGCTCTGTACCTATTCACGGTGAGCTTTTGATCTTCTTCGGAGACTGTATAATATAAGATTGAGCAAGTAGCAGAGCTCTCCTCAAACTCCTTTTTTCATGACACATTCGCTGCTGCAGGGATTGAATCTGTGACTATGACACATTCTCACTGGGTTTTAGAGCAGAATTTTACTTTTGCTCAACTCTGTACTTTCCCCCTCACACCATGTAGTAAAACCAACCAGTGAATTTTTCTTTTAAACAGTGCAACAAATACGTTGCTTTATTTTCACAGATGGCTGACAAGTCAGACAGTGGCTCTTTGGAAATCGAACAGTTTGTCCACTTCTATGAGATGCTGACTCAGAGGGATGAAGTGTGGAAGGTGTTCCAGGACTACTCCGGAGATGGAGAGAAGTTAATGTTGGAGGAGCTGCAGAACTTCCTGAGCACGGAGCAGCAGGAGGGAGAGCGGAGTGCGCAGCTAGCCCGGGAGCTGATTGACCGCTATGAACCATCTGAATCAGGTAAAGATGGCTTCATCTTCATCAACTTCAGTCATTTTCAGATTTTTGAGGACTGGCTGGGCCTCAGGAGGAGTTGCCCTGTTGCACAACTGCCCTAAAATACAGCCATGAATATCAATATCAACTTTATTTATATAGCACACTTAAGGTTGACCAAGGTGCTTAACAGGATAAAAGTACAATAATAAAACAGTAATCACAAATAATGTACAGCGAATTAGAATTTACAGTAGTACTAAGTGATATATAATGATAATAAATTGCCTAGGATAATTTCTTAGGAATGTGTAAAAACTGTTCAAATATAATAATATTAAATATTTATTGTAGATAAAAAATGTAATATTTATTGTATATAGTATTACTTCTTATGCTTCACACCTACAACATACATCGATATTTACTAATAATAATAATCTTTCTTTTTAGAGTGCTTTTCAAAAGCAAGTTACAAAGTTCTTTAACAACTGCCAAGACAAAAAAAACACATAAAAACAAATACATGATAAAAGCAAAAAAGAGACTAAAATACATGTTAAAAGTAAATATAAAATATCTATAAAATAGATTAAAATAAAATAAAATCAGGAAAGGCTCTCCTATAAAAGTATGTTTTAAGAAGGGACTTAAAAGAGTTCACTGACTCAGCCGACCTGATTTCCTCGGGCAGGCTGTTCCAGAGCCTCGGGGCCCTGACAGCAAACGCTCTGTCCCCTTTAGAGCCAGTGTAATGAAGCTAAAACATAACAACATACATACTGTATGTCTATCTACTTACATTTAATGAAACCCATGCCGCTCAGCATTTCTGCCAGGTGATCTGTGAACTCACCAGTCTTTTAATTAGAGTCCCGGCAGGTTTTTGAAAGTCTTTATGGCCATATAAACCTGAATTGCGCTCTTGTGCCAACACCTTCTGTGTCCCTCTGTGCAGACAAGCAGCAAGGCGCCATGTCGTTGGAGGGCTTCCAGATGTACCTGTGCTCGCAGGAGGGCTCCATATTTAAACCTGAGCGTCGGGACCTTCACCAGGACATGAGCCAGCCTCTTAGCCACTACTTCATCTCCTCCTCACACAACACCTACCTCCTGGAGGACCAGCTCCGAGGACAGAGCAGCTTGGAGGCATACATCCAGTGAGGGCTGCAGCTCACGCCACACGCAACACACTTTATTTGTAGTTCCTGTTTTTAATTGAACCAGAGGTCAGACAATCACAAATGAGGAGGAGCGTGAAGTTAGTGTTCAGGTTGACAGGGAGTTTTAAGGTTCAAACAAAAGCTGGGAATTACTTATAAACTATTTTATCATGAGGTGAGTGACACAGGGGGGGTTTCAGGATTTCATATAATCCTTAAAAGGTATATTGTGTATTTGTAGACTGAAATGTGACACTTTTAACTGAAACAAGAGTGATTACTTACATTTTTTTTTGCGTGTGTGTGTGTAGGGCCCTGAAGAGAGGCTGCCGTTGTGTGGAGGTGGACTGCTGGGACGGCAGTGATGGGGAACCAATTGTGTACCATGGTCACACTTTGACTTCCAAGATTCTTTTTAGGGACATAATTTCAACACTGAAAGAATACGCCTTCAAGGTGAGCAGCACTAGCAATATTTACAGCCGTGTCTGAGCTTTCTTCCCCAGAGTAGCCGTTAGTCTGTCACCCATCCCACATTTCATTACTACTACTCAACATTTTGTGAACAGTTTGCTCTGAAAGAGAAGAAACAGTCGCTAAAAACTGCTGACATTGTGTTTGCATAATCCAGAATAACAGGAACACTGTGTCGTGGAAATGGTGTTTACCATAAACATTCAATTAATAACCGAGTCCCAAATAGCCGCCTGCCTCGTTTACTGGCCTGGTGTGGGAACACACTTTGACAAATAAACGCCTGGTCTGGTTTTTATAGAAGTATAAAACCTCTTAAACCCTGCGGAGTCGCCCACTTTAGCTGCTTCTAAGTCCGAATGTGTCCCTTCCTTGATTATTTATATATTTCTTCAGTCTGGAAGGGTCCACCCATCAAAAGAATCAAAACAGCTTTTCATAAAAATGAATCCGAGTTGTGAATCCTGTCATGTGAAGTCCATCGCTCTCTGTCTGCTAACTTCTGCCACACTTCTCTCATCCTGCACCCCGTTGTTGTTTTCCTTACGTTGCTGCCTTCAAAATAAAAGCGCATTTGACTGAAAAAAGATTTTATCATAATAGTTTTGAATGTTCTACCTCAGATATGTGAAGTGATCCACTGTTTGGCATCAAGTGTTTGTCACGTTCTGACTGTAAAGAAAAGTTTAGCCACATAATTAACCATCTGGTCCTTCAGTTTACAATTATCGATGTTGAATGGTATGAAATGTTTTTATCGTGATAAAATTTTTGGCCATATCACCCAGCCCTAATATAATATAAGTAATATTCATACTGTTTGAAATAAATAAACTGTTTTCATAGTAGTTTCAGTTTTGTGCAAAAGGAATTAAAGGCCTGTCCCCAATACAGGCAGGGTCAATTCAGTGATTTTAGCAAATAAAAGCTATTAATCAAAGTTTTATGGTATTTCCCGGTGCAGACATGAACAAGTAAATGGATTACAACAAACCGTTGTTAAAGGATAAAAACAAGGAAGTACATAAACAAAGCAGCTGGGTCAGACGTCTCCCACCTGGGGCAGTGTCATTCTTGCTAAACAAATATGTTGATTAAAGTCAAATAGAGCTGCACCAATAAAAGTAATTGAAAAAATGGGTTTTGGTACCAAGCTTAGCAAACCAAACCTTGAGAGCAATTCCACCCGCAGGACTGTCTGTGTGTCCAGCAAACTGTAAAGCCCACATGGAGCAGCTGGTATGAAATGTCCCCCAGCTGACTGACCTACATGGAAAACAACCAGGAACTTCTCATGTGACTCCTCTACTCTATTCAAACTTTCCTTCTCGACTTTAAGAAGATATGATGAAGAAACTGCTTTGGAGGATTTTGGAAACTTACATACTGTTGTTAAACTATTTGAAATGACTTTTGATTTTGCTGAAGCTGACAGAATAATCTTAAGATAAGCTTTAAAAGCCACCTGTTCATTTTAAGAGAACTGTGTCTTCTCTTTCCTGTTTGACAGGCATCAGACTTCCCACTCATCCTGTCCCTTGAGAATCACTGCGGTGTGGAGCAGCAGACAGTCATGGCCCGACACCTCAGCCAAATCTTGGGTGACACACTGCTGACGACCCCGCTGGAAGGGTTGGTCCCTCAACAGCTTCCGTCTCCACAGGTTAGAATCTGTTTGGGTTTAGTTCACCACACGGGGCAAAGCGTTCATTTTTACCTTCATGAAACTTTTACAGAGGCTGAAAGGCTGCAATGATCATTGTAAATAAAACCAGACTCTTTAATGGATTTTGTATTTTTGCAATAATTTCAAGTCAAAGCGGCTGAAATATCTCACAACTATTGGATATATGGCTATAAAATTTAGACATCCATGGTCCCCAGAGGATGAAATGTAATACGTCTATCTAGCGCCATCATCAGGTCACTTTGGACCAAATACCAGCAAAACTAATAACATTCCCATTAGCACAGCTCCCCTTTGTTTTGTGCTCATAGCATATGTTAGCATGCTACCACACTCAACTACGGAAGCCCTGAGCAGCCTTCGATTCAAACATTTTTTGACTCCGTTTTCCCCTGATAACGGGATAATTTTCTCGGGATCTGGAGATAACACAACAGTAGTTTAACACAGTGGTGTAATGTTAATTTCTGTGTTACTATCAGCATCACGGGTTAGCTCAGGCGGTAGAGCACAGGACTCTTGGGAGTTTTTTCTCTTTTTTTCATAATCTTCTTCAACAAAGTTCTTATGAAGAGAACTGTTTCACCTGCTCACAATTAATCACGTGCTGGACTGCGTGCATCCAGGCGATTGGTCCACATCCATCAACCTATTGACTTTTCATTTCCCCGTCACTCCCAGGCAGAAGGAATTCCCGCGCTTCTCATTCAGGGGAATCCATTTCCTGACGGCTATTTCAGAAGCTTTGAGATAGCCGACCGGGAAATGTGTGTGATTGGATTCCCCTGAATCTCTTCATAACAACTTTGCTGAAGAGGATAATAAAATGAACACACAAAAGAAGAAAGCGGGAGTCAAACACTGAAAACTAGAAATTATCCTAAAGAAAGGCACCGGCCGACCCCTGTGCTCAGCTATAGTCTGTTATCTCGAGATAATTATCCTGTTATCACGGGAATAGATTTTTCATCTTTACTTTAACATTTAGGCATCAATATGGCAGGACTAATTTTTTAAAATTCTTCTGTAAACATAACCTTTTGGACTAGAATGTTTTCAGAAAATACACTTCAGATCCGTTCTTAATGATTCATGTGTGCCTTGCTATCCATCTCACATCGATCATAAACGCACGTGACTTCCAAACTCTTTTCCATTAGAGCTCTTAGGACAATCAATGCTAACTTGAAGTAATGGAAGATAAAGGGTATGAGGAATTCCACTGAGGATTTCAGCAATGAAATAGTGGTACGTTGCTGCATTTAGTTAGAGACAGCAGAGTGTAGGAAGATGGATCACCTTCATGAGTAGTCTGGGTGCTGAAGACAACAAGTACTTTAAAACTGTAACATCTGAGTGTCCCGTCAGTTCCTGGTCTATCCCAACACTCACTCAGCACGTTCACCTTGTCTTACTGTTCGTTCAAGGAGCTGAAGGGGAAAGTTTTGCTGAAAGCCAAGAAGATTGGAGGTCTAGAAGACTGTCTCGATGAAACCGTGACGGACGAAGTTAGCGATGAGGAAGAGATGGCCAACGATGAAGCTGACACAGAAGACCCACCCGCTGAGTGTTTGACCAACAATGGGAAGGTAGAGGAACCTGATACTCAGGCCCCGTCCACACTGCTGCGCTTTGGTTTTAAAACGGAGACCTTTTGCTACGTTTGCACCTCCCGTCCAGATAAAAACGGTGAAAAAGAACAGCTAAAACGGAGAAGTTTGCCGTTTGCCGTTTTCCGTTTTGAAACTCCAGAGAGCGTTTTAGTGTGGACGGGCAAAAACGGTGGACTTTAGAAACGATGATGCGACGCTCACGCTCGGCTCTCTGATTGGGTCTCATAAGTCATGCAAAGTAGAAACACGATGCTACTGACAGAGTTTTTGATTTGGTATTTGTATTAAAATATTTTGTGCAAATAACACTTACAGACTACACTTGTACTCTACGTGTCGCCGTATTTACTTTGCGACGACTCCCAGTCTGTTTTCCGCCGCCACAGTCGCTTTAAACTCCCGTGTTCCATTCAGTAACAGTCCCAGCTCGTTATTGATCCATGCAAAATAAAATCCTGTGCTGTTCTTCGTCTTTAGTACTTTATCCTTTCGCCAAGTCTTCTGTGACTACGGAACAGACCATCTGCTTCATGTTTACACCGACACGCGCACGCCAGTGTACGTGAACGGCCGCTAGATGTGCGTTTTCAGTCGTTTTAATACAGACGCGGAACAACTCTGACACGCAGCTAAAACGCTGCTGTGGACGGAGATCGTATCCGTTTTAAAACTCAGTTTTTAAAGTAACAAGGAGCAGTGTAGATGGGGCCTTAGGTAACACGGGGTAAGACACCCCCCCCCCAGTGTACTTCTAACAGAAGAATTGTTTCTCACTCAACTTCCTCTGTTTCATCACAATTTTTTAAGTTATTTGATGAAAGCCATTGAAATTTGTTTTTAAATTTTAAATGACTAATTGTGTTCAATTTTTATATACATGTATATTTACATTAAGGGGAGCCTTTAGATAAGTTATGCAATTGTTTAGAGAGAGAGATTTTTATATTTTTTGGTTAAAGTAGTAAAATGCTAAATTAGTATGTTTGTAATTTGCACCTTTTCACACCATAGGAGTGGGGGGGGGGGCATCTTACCCCAGCGGAAAATGCCTTTTCCCTAAAACGAATATTCTACATTTGATTAAATATAAATGAATTTGTTAACTGTAGCTATTTCTTTTACTTTAATATGTTACCCTAAGCGCAGCCCTCTTAAAGATACAAAAAAAAGAATCAATAAAATGGTCTTTAATGTGTCAGAAAATACTTTCTGTTAGAACTTTGAACATTTGATTCTTACCCCAAACTACCCTAATTTTTCTGTAAGATTTGAGATCCGTCGATGTCCCCTTTTCCATCCTCTTTATTTATTTTAACATGATCTGCCATGCTGCTTATAGGTTTTCTTTATAGTGGAAGTGAAGAAAGACAGGAGATCAACAGTGACAGTAAATCATGACAGGAGCAAATGGAGCTTGATAGTACAGCGAGACTGGAAACTGGGTTGGGACATAAGAGCCAGTAAGGCGAGACTGGAGTAAAACAGGGAGATAGTGCAAAGAAACAGGAAACAGGGATATTTTAAAGAAAACAGATACGGCACAAAGAAGAAAGACGGTGAAGTGAGAAGGTAAACACCATTAAGCAAAGTGCTTCTCCTGTGTGGTGGAAAAAACAGTCCTGTGAATCGATTGGAAAATATCTAACGTGCATTTCACATTTAACTGGGAAAGTTAACCTTATTTTCTAAAGCGGCGCTTACAATCAAGAAATTAACTTGATGCATTTGTGGCTTTGATAATTTAATTAGAGATTAATGAGGCAGACAGAGGGAATTTATTTGCAATAAAAGAACTGTCCAGGCCAATTACAGGCCATTAATCAGATAATTTATCCTCTAATAACATCAACATAGTTATCTGTTCATTTGTCCACAACTAAACAAAACTGCAACCGACTAGTGTGAGAAAATGTTGGAAACTGTTCTGTAAAAATGCATAAATAAAGTAATAATAACCTAGTAATTTGTCCTAAATTTAAACAAAGCAGCTAATAACTAGTTTAAAGTGATGAGAATGGGATTTGTTTGTTGACAGGTTTTCTATTTTGTTCGCAGAAATCCACGTCCAAATTTTCCAGGGAGCTGTCAGACCTGGTGGTTTACTGCAAGAGTGTGCACTTCCATGACTTTGAGCGTGCTCGTTTACACGGCAAATGCTATGAGATGTCCTCATTCTCTGAATCCAAGGCCAAGAGGCTCGCTAAGGACGCAGGTACCATGAACACGAGGGAACGGTGCATTTAGAAAAAGATATTATATCATATCATATTACCTGTTTTATGACTATACTTTGTTATACATGTGTAACATAAGGTATCATTTCATATTATATTATTGATGACTGTATCTGAGTCATACATAGAGAAACAGGTGGAGTTCTGTGTGTTTAATCTACAGAAATACATAGTCTTTCCTCTCTTTAAACCTCTCCTCAGGGGCAGATTTTGTGCTGCACAACACAAGGCAGCTGAGCAGGATCTACCCCAGCGGGCTCAGGACGGACTCCTCCAACTATAACCCACAGGAGATGTGGAACGTGGGCTGCCAGATAGGTGAGGGGGGAGGTCGCCCTCTGCTGGTTAAACCAAACTTTCTCCTCTAAAATCACTGACGTCTCCTGTTTCCAGTGTCAAAACCTGACTGTTCTAGTGTCCACAGCCACTGCTGTCAAATATGAGTGGCACTAGTTAGATACAACTAAACCGTGCAACAACTAAGAAACCGCAAGTAAAGGCTGTGCCGCATTTTTGATTTGGGGGATGGTTTTATCGCCCAACTTGTTGAACTTGAATCTTCCTAACCCAGTGAGAAGCATACACAGCAGCAAAATAAGCATGCGCTTTATTTAATAGTTAACAGTGGACAATGATAGGAAACATGAATAGGGAGTGATAAGGATTAAGGCATGCTACAAAGGTCCCCAGCGGAAACTGAACCAGGACCATTATGATTGTATGCTATGCAGCTTACGTGACTATTTCACACGAAAGCTATTAGCTATTTGTACATGGAATATAACAAATGTGAGAATATAACAGGCTGCACATAAATTGACTGTCTCTTTTGTGACAGCATATTGAGGAGGAGTAATTCTCTTTGTGCACGCCCTCACTGCCACCCCCACCTCCTCCTGCAGGGAGGCTAGAGGTCCGGGTCAGATGCAGAACATCATCCCCTGCAGCTGGAGGGGTTCGTCAGGACAGATGCTTCCTGTCATAAGGGCTCAAACTGACACTGTCTGTTCTGGATGAAAGACAGTCGTCTGCTGGACTTCGATTGCTAGATAGATGACTGAGTCTGGGAGACCATGTGATGCAGCCAGCCAGAGCCGCAGTTAATTGCATTATTTCCCTTCTCCGTCTTTCCCAAAGTGGCTCTGAACTTCCAGACAGCCGGTCTGGAAATGGATCTGAATGACGGGCTGTTCAGGCAGAATGGATGCTGCGGCTACGTCCTCAAGCCTGAATTCATGAGAGACGGCAACACTCAGTTCAGTCCAGAGACGCCCGAGGAGCGGCGGGACTACAAGCCACTCCGCTTATCCATCCAGGTTCAAAAGTGCATGAACGTCTAGTTGGTTTTGTGGTTGTGGTGGGCAGCTAGGCTACTAGTGGTTAAGAAATGTGCAGGTAATGTCAGAAAACCACTGAAAAACAATGAAAGAAAAGAACATTTGTGTTTGTCAGGTGATCAGTGGGCAGCAGCTACCAAAGGTGAATCAGAAAGAGGGCTCTATTGTAGACCCCCTGGTCAGAGTGGAGGTCTATGGAGTGCCGCAGGACCAGGTCAAGGAAGAGACCAGTCACATTAACAACAATGGTGGGAGTGTGTTCATTGTTCTTTTATACAGATAACCTTTCGTTCACATAGATGTGAAAGAAAACGTGTGTAATCAAAACAAGTCACCTCTCCCGTACTCACTCCTCTACCTGCAGGTTTTAACCCAGTGTGGAATGAAACTTTAAATTTTGTCATCCACACCCCTGAGCTGGCCCTGGTTCGCTTCGTGGTGGAGGACTACGATAAGGCGTCCAGGAACGACTTTGTGGGACAGTTCACTCTGCCGTTTACGTGCATCCAAGCAGGTGAGCCAAAACACAAAGCATGGAAACCACCAGAGTTACAGCTCACTGCAGTATTTCTTATGGGGAGCCCGGGGGCAACTTTTGGTTTCTTTGTCATAACTCAAACACTTCTGGTATCTGTGTTTTACTTGTGAACAGTCATCAAATGTTTTTACAAGCAATGTTAAAGTCACAATATTGATTCAAACACTAGATGTGAAATGTTACATCTGCCCCCACGTGCAGGGGCAGATGTAACATTTCACATAATTCCTTCATATAGATACCAAGGACCAAAATAAACTACCGAGAAGATAGATACAGTTGAAATAATGAAATGATCCATTGATATTACTACTTGAAACTTTTCTAAAGTGGTACAAGGTCACATGACAAATGTCATAGGAGAGCCCTCACTGATTTGCTCCCTGTCAAAAGGATCCCCACATTGAGAGGCAACACCTTCAAGCTCTGGACTACGTCTTAATAACACAGTTTACATAATAAAGAAATCTATTGGTCATTCGTACTCATGAATGTTTTAACTGAAAACACTTTTCTGACATTATTAGAAAGATTATTGTCTATTATTTTCTATATTGAGCCTCAATATGATGCTACTATTACAAACCAAAAATCATCATCAAGATTTAAATTCATAGACATCAATGGTTAAAAAAGTATGAGAATAATACTGTAGATTTTTTAAAAATTACTTTCATAGCTCAAAAATGAGTCTTGACAAGAATGTGTCATCGGCTCGTCCTTCCGCGAGATGGCCACAGAGAGCGTGCATGATGAGTTTCATGGCTCTGTCTAGTTCCTGATTGGTGCAATTTGAGAGGTTACAATTGGCCCCCGGTCTCCCCCTAAATATGTAGGTAAAAATATACGTTCTGTCAAATACCAGGAGAACCCAGGATTCACTCAGTACCGCTCTGTTCCAGGATATCGTCACATACATCTGCTGTCTAAAGACGGAACATCTATCCCTCCCGCATCCCTGTTCGTCAACATCAGCATCTCTGAGCTCACATGAAGAAGTCAAATCGGAGGATATGAAGCCAGAGGTGGTCACAACAAGTCTTCATTTGTATTAGTAGGGTGGAGTGGAACAGGTCAGACTCATTATTCACTCAAACAAAAACAAAATTTACCAAGAAATAAGACAACTAATTAGAAACAAGGACTGTCAAAAAGAGTCCATGTAGTAGTTTGAAAAATTCTTAGGTTTAAATGAACTCGTCTGGCTGTATTTTATTCTGTTCTCAGATGTGTGCACTCTCACGGAAGTACTGAATGAACATGAAGGATTGCTGCATGTCTACAACGTCTAAATATCTGCCTGTTTACCTTTAAATGTACTGTATATCCAGAAGCAGCAGTACTTAGGAAATAAGTGAAAGTGTATGGTCCACAGTTTTAAAGTGCTGTGAAAAAAAAAGCCTACTATTATAACGTGCTCACAGCTTTGCACCATGTTGGTTAATCTACAATTAAGTGCCTGCCTAAGTCATTTGTATTTACTAATGTACACGTTCCACAACTTATGTTATCCATCCATCCATTGTCAACCGCTTATCCTGCGTACAGGGTCGCGGGGAAGTATTATGTAAATAAAGGTCATTTATTTATCATTATACAACACAAGCTTGTACAAGGATAGTCCTGTCATGTTATACACACAAAATAAAATTTATATTAAAATAGGGTAACAAAAAATAAATAAATTCAACAACATAAGCCAATATGTATGTTATTTATACACACCCAGGAAATAATTCTGCATGCATTACTTACATCTGGGAGATTGTAAACAGCAGTGACAAGATAGTGACGATAATATGGTTTTAATCTTCACATAAAAGGTTGGACATTTGGTAACCTGTGTCTATCCGCCAGCTGCTTGACCGGATTTAAATACAAATGTATGTATATGTAGGTCTGTGAATACATGCAATACAACTTCTGAAGAGTTCAACACCATGGAGTCATTCACAGACATGTTTCAAGACTCATTCAATGTTCAAGTTCATATAGTCACACACACACATATATACACACAAATGTAAAGGCTCCGTATTTGTATAGCGCCTTTCTAGTCTTTTCCACCACTCAAAGCGCTTTTACACTACATCTGCTTTCACCAGTCATACACATTTATACACTGAGCCTAAGTGCTCAAACGGAAACTAACATTCCTGGAACGGCCGACCTTCTGATTAACGGGCAGCACGCTCTACGTCCTGAGCTACAGCTGCCCGTACATACATATATATACACACACATCAGGTACACATATAACACACCTTCCTTTCAATTTACATTCTCTCACTTAACAATATGTACTGATGCTTTTTTATTATCCTTTTACAATTTAGTACAATAAAATCAAGTGGTCACATATATATTGACAGATACTGTCTGAACTCCCGGTTGGCGATGATAGTGATCTACAGTCTGACCACATGCATCTCCTGTGCCCTCTCGTCAGCGTTTTGCCTTGCCGTCTTCCCCTCTTTGCACAGCCTTTTCAACAACTTCCTGCACCTCTTCAGCCGTCCCTTCCGCTTGTGCTGCTCTCTCATCCAGTGTCCCCAGCAAGGCCTCTTTCAGGGTCAGGCTAACAGCGTCAGAGTCCCTCACCACCCCCTGCTCTACTGACATCTCTGGATGGTGCCTCTGCAAATGCTTGACCACCTGGAACTTCTGCTTGGCTCTGTAGGAGCAGTGGCGACAGCAGAAAGGTTGCCGCTTGGTGTGCGAGAGGTAGTGGTGTCTCAGACCCGCCGGCCACCGGAAGGCCTTGTGGCACAAGCCGCACGCATATGGCCGATCGTCACTGTGTTGACGCTGGTGGGTCTTCAGTATAAAAGTAGTCTTGAAGGCTTTGCCGCATTTCTCGCAGACATATGGGCGCATGTCGCAGTGCTGCGTGTCCCGGTGGGCACGGAGAGCATCCGCTCTGTTAGTGCGGTACTCACACTCATCACAGACATAAGGTTTGTCCCCTGCAACAGACAGACAAATGTTTTTTTTTCCCCCCCACAGCATCATGTAATAAAAACTGAGCATTAATAATGATTTACAGAAATAGACCGCCTCACATTTATAAGTTTTTGCAGAGAGATGCTGCTCGCAGAGGAAGATTATTTCAACCATTCATTCGAGTCTATAAAATTTTTGTTCAATCAGCCCCCAAATCTTAAAACATACTCAAGTATTTTAATCTTCAACCCTTATGTCTTGCTACCTGTGTGCTTGGTCATGTGGTACTTCAGCTGAGTCGCCCACTTGCATTTGTAGCCGCACTCCGGACAAAGGTACTTCTTCTCCTCTCGGTGAACCCTCATGTGAAGCTATAGTAGGATTTATTTTAAAACAGAGAAATAAAAGAACATTTCTTATTTTCATTATGCTGTGTTTTTTAGGAACACTCACTGTCTTGCCTAAGTTAGATGAGAAGATCGACACCACTCTGATGGCTGCCCACTACCGCAAGCAGCTGATTAGCTTAGCTAAGCATAAAGACAGGAAACTGGAAAACAGCTGGTCAATCAGTAACAAAATCCACCTACCAGGGCCTCTGAAGCTCACGAATTAAAACATATAGTGTTTGTTTAAGTGGACCCTGTTTTGGTATTACAGGAAGTCATATAACAAACTATTCTCTGGCACATCAGCCCCCATAAAACTACAAGGTGTTGTTATGGCACTTAAGTTAAGCATCTTCTGGCTGTAGTTTCATATTTTAGGGACAGACTGAAGAGTGGTATCAATCATCTTATATAACCTTTAGCAAGAAAACAAATAATATCAAACCAATTGCTTTGATAAATTCCTTAGACATAACTGGTCTACTGGAAGCTCCTGTTGGTTTCTGTGTTTAAATGTATTGGTTGTGTCCTGTGTTATTTGATGTTTTTAATGTTTTTTAATGAACCTGGTGAAGCCAAAGACAAGTTTCCAGAAATGGATAATAAAGATTTAACCTATCTTATAAATAAATAAAAATAAAAAAATAAAGTAAATTTCTAAAATGGGAACAACTGCTTTATTTCTTTTTTCCAATATAAAATGTTTGTAAAGAAACGCTTTACATTTTTGTATCACCTTGGTTATACAAGAATTGGGACCTGTGACATTCCTGTAAAGGAGTTTAATGAACTTTTATTTTACAAATAATAAACTCATCCTATGAACTTTGGGCTTACCTTCAACCTAGACGGGTCGGTGCAGGTGTAAGTGCACTGCTCACAGCTGTAAGGCTTCTCCCCGGTGTGTATGCGGATGTGCCACGTGATCTTCTGCTTGTTCTGGGTTGAATACTCGCAGTCTGTGCATTTGTACAGACGCTTGCCTCCGTGTGAACGGAGGTGCTGCTCTAACACCAGCTGGTGCCGACAAGCAAACTGACAGGTGCTGCACCTGAGAGGCTTGTCCTCTGGAGATCCCTCCTCGTGATCATTCACAAGGTGTTGAGCTAGGAGCTGCCTTGTTTTGGAAGCGAAGGGGCACAGCTGACACTGATGTGCCAGGTGGGTTCTCCGGTGAATCTCGAGGGTTTCCTTTGTTTCAAAAGACTCCTGGCAGGCGGTGCATTTCACCTGAGGGTGCTTGCTGTCTTGGTGTGTCTTCAGTGTGACCTCGGTGCTACAGGTGTAGTCACACTGCTTACATGAGAAACAGACCTGGAGCTGGTGGACACGTTTACAGTGGTTTCTTAGTGCAACTTCTGAACTAAACTGAGCATCACAGTGAGTGCAAGCATGGTGCAAGTCCCCCGTGTGGCATCTAAGATTGTGCCGTTTCACGTCGTCCAGCGTGTAGCCACTGAAGTCACAGAGCGAGCAGAAGTGTGTAGGCCGTTTGTCGTGGATGCGCACTTTGTGCTGACGCAATTTGGTCACAGCCCCAAAGGTCTTGTTGCAAATATCGCAGCTGTGACGACCGATCCCTGTGTGAAGAGACTCGTGCTCTTCCAAGCGATAGCGCCTTGTGGTGCTAAAAGAACAATACCGACAACGGTGAGGTCGTGCACCTTTGTGTTTGAGGGCAACATGTTGCGCCATGCGCCGCTGGTGTTTGCAGGTGAAAGTACAGTGCTGGCAATGCAAGCGTTTAGATTTAGCAATGGAAAACTTTTTTTTGTTATGAACATAGAGGATGTGACGGGTTAAAGACATTTTTGATTTGGCCACAAATGAACACATGGTGCATTGGATTTCATCTGGCTTCAAGCAGCCTCTCTTTTCATGACTGTCCAACGCCCTTTTCTGATTGCACTTAAATGCGCAGCTTGGACAAGAGAAGGCTTGATGTTTCTCAGAAACTTTCCCAGTTCTTTTACTGTCCTCTTCCACCAAGTCCTCCTGTACGTTCACTGGCTCATTACCACACTCCACTTTTGAAATGATCTGATTCCCTCCTTTACTTTTCTTCCTGCAGGTCGAGAGGTGCCGTTCAACTGTTACAAGCCTGACTGATGAAAAGTTGCACAGATTGCATTTGAATTTCCCATCTTCTTCAGAGTACAGGGACTTCTGCCGCGGAACATTTCCTTGTTTTTTAGTTAAAGATAACTGCTTTTTTGTAAGGTTTTTTGTCTGGTGTACTGATTTATTGGATGTCAAAACATTACAAACAAAGCCTTTACAGTTTTTAAAATGACACGTGCATACTTCTTCCTCTCGCTGATGAAATTCCTGATCATTTGAATCATCGTTTTGTGAAGACAGAAGCTCGGTCTGATCGTCATTTGTTCCCTCATCCGGTTGTTTGGTTCCTTCCCGAGCTACAGCAGAGTTGTCTTCTGTAGCCAAACGTGTATTTGAAATGCCCCCAAATGTTCTTGTTTTTCGCGAAAGCGCAGGGCATTTTTTCACAATGTGGCTATCGAGGCCTCGCCTCTGTTTGAACTGTGCACCACAGGCCTGGCACTCGTGTCCCTTTATCCTACCACGGCACAAAGCCTGGCAGTGGTACTTCAAAGCGGTCTCCTTACTGGTTACATAAGAGCACTTGTCACAGCGATAAACATCTCTAGTTGGCACCACGAGCATCTGCACCCGTCCCTCCAAAACCATGGCTTCGGCTTGGTCCTTGTCGTGTTTCTTCATAGCTTTCAGCCGGAGCTCAGATTCTGATGGCTGCTTTTGCCCAGATGGAAAAGTGGAACTGATCGTTCCACCATCATTCTGTGCTTGCGTCGGACACTCCGCGGCTTCATCTGGTTGGCTTGTATTATTCAGAGGCTCGTAGTTGTCATCCAAGTCACTTTGTTCACATTCTGCATCTGCCACAGCTGCATCGTCCTCCTCTAATGAAGAGGCAGAGAGGTCTGCCTTCTCTTGTGATATGTCAGACCCTTTACAATTTAAACCGGGTGAGCTTGGAGTTTGATTTGCACAATCCCCTGGGTGGGTCTGATAGTCAGTGGTCGACAGTGTCGTTAGAACGAGAGTACAGTACTCC